TGGCTGCTGCCCCCCGCAAAAACAGATGGATGGATCGGGTAAAGACGGCTAAATGCTAACGTTGAGCTATCAATGCTAACATTGAGCTATCCATGCTAACGGTAAATTAAAAAAATATCTCAAGCAAACGACTTGATATTACAGTGAGAAGTATTTCTCTACTACTGTGTACGACTCGTCTTCACTCGTCATGTAGTCTTCTGGTGCTGACCCGTAACTGTTGCTCAGAGCCGACTTGCAGGTTTTGATACATGAACTGCAGTACCCGTGTTTGGCCACTAAAGGCCTTACGTCATGCACCTTTAAATGGACAGTAACACTTCCAGAAGAACGTTCCTTTCCTTTGTGGACAAAGTGATATAAAATCATCTACAGAGCTGGAAAACATCTCCCAGTTTAAAAATGCAACATTTGGAAGCTGCTTGGCCAATCTGCTGCTGTACTTGTAGCACGCTCCTCCTCTCTGCTGCGGGAAACCATTTGATCTGAAGCTGCTGTTGGATGTAGAACAGATTTCTTTTCTGTTGTGGTTGTTTGCAAAACGCGAGTAAATAAAAGGTGCGTGGGAGCAGCGATCAGCTGTGACGAGTTAATTCTGTGTGCTTTCTTGTGCTCGTGCCAGTCGTCTGTTCCGAAGCGTCGCAGGTCAGTGACATGGACCGCTACACCGCTTACCCGCCTGTCTTTCTTTCACTTCATCTGAGAGGTTTTTGAGAAGGATCCACTGAGCAGAGCAGGTCTATTTCTGGTCTGACCATTAGGCAACAGGACTTTTTTTCTTTGTTTGGTCCTGCAGTGGAACATTTTGACCCGCAGTTCAGCAGATATGAAGATTCCCCAGAGAGTTGATTTCAGGGAAAAATGAAGATTTCTGCCAGAAAAATTAGTAAAAAGGTAAATAAGCAACGGAGATGAGAGGATGCATCGGGGGAGAAAGGGGGATGATTTCCACTGCAGCACTAAATAGATGACTGTTCTCTAAAAGAAACAAGAGTTAGGCTATCTGGATGAGAGCTGCAAAAGGAAACGGAGGAAAAAATATTATTCTGTTAGGCATAAAAATAAATCCATTCTCTAAACCCCACTAAATCATTCCTCTGGTTGCAGAAAACATGTTTCTGCAACTGATCTGCTTTTCTTTTTTCATGTGGAAACATCTTAGGCAATACGTTACTTGCTCCGGTCACTTGAGAAGATCTTTTGAAGGTTTGATGTTTATATCTGTTTTTTTTTTCTCTGTCCTCCTGCTGCGTCTCAGCTCCTGGCCAAGGACCCCAAGGAGAGGCTGGGCTGTCGGGGTTGTGGGGCCATCGAGGTCAAGCAGCACCCCATCTTCAGAAACATCAACTTCAAACGGCTGGAAGCCAACATGTTGGATCCTCCTTTCATCCCAGATGTGAGACTGAGACACACGCACACACACACATACTCACACACACACACACACACACACACACACACACACACACACGCGCACACACACACACACACACACACACACACAAACTTACACACACTCACATAAATATACACACATACATAAACACATGCAGTCACACTCATGCACACACACACGCACACACACACACACACTCACTCACACGCACACACTTACACACACACACACTCACACGCACACTTACACACACTCACATAAATCCACACACATACATAAACACATGCAGTCACACTCATGCACACACACACGCACACACATACTCACACACACACACACGCACACACATACTCACACACACACACACACACACACGCACACACTTACACACACACACACACACACACACACACGCACACACAAACTTACACACACTCACATAAATACACACACATACATAAACACATGCAGTCACACTCATATGCACACACACACACACACGCACGTACATACTCACTCACACACACATACATGCGTGCACGCACATGCATGCATGTACATACACACACACACACATACATATGCACGCCTGCATGCATACACACACACACTCACACACGCACATACATACATACTCACACACACACACACATACATGCATGCATTCACACACACGCACACAATTATGCATACATACACACACACACACACACACACACACACACACGCACGCACACACACACACATACATACATACTCACACACACACACACATACATGCATGAATTCACACACACGCACACATGCATGCATACATACACACACACACACGCACGCACACACACACACACACACACATACATACATATGCTCACATGCATGCATACACACACACACACACAAGCATGCACACACACACACACACACACACACACACACACATACATATGCACACACATGCACACATGCATGCATACACACACACGCACACATGCATGCATACACACACGCATGCATACACACACACACACACACACACACACATACATATGCTCACATGCATGCATACACACACACACACACACACACACACACACACACACACACACACACACACACACACACACAACTTTTGTGGGTGTGTGTGTGTTTCTGTATTGAAATGCCTCTATAACTTCTAACATCACTTTAAATAAGTGGTGAAATGATGTTGCACAATATCTCTGCTTATTAAAAAAAGATCCTCAAGTGTTTATTTTGCGTCTTTTTCCCTCCGTCTGGGATAATAAAGACATTCCTGGAGGGAACGGTCACATTTTTGTGTCCTAACGTGAGGGAGTTAGGCAGCGGGACTGACGTGGGAGCTTAAATCAATACTAGAAAGTAAATTGTGTTATCTGTGTTTCTATTTTTATCGCATTCAGAAGGACTACGCTGGAAAACAAAACAAAACGCAGCAGCTGAGAGTCATTAGGTCACGTTAGATGTTGCCCTCCTCATCATAACCCACATCTGGTGTTTGTCCCTCCCTCAGCCTCGAGCCGTGTACTGTAAAGACGTCCTGGACATCGAGCAGTTCTCCACCGTCAAAGGCGTGAACCTTGACCCCACAGATGATGACTTCTACCACAAGTTTGTCACAGGAAGTGTCCCCATCCCGTGGCAGAACGAGGTAGTGCACCCTGAGCGACCTGCATGATGTCACTGTTTAAACCCCGCTCTGGAATGATGCAGCACATCTTGTAGAAACCGTGTGCAGCTGGATGTTAGAGGGGAACTGTAGGAACCCACCCATAAGAAATATGAAGAGTTTTAGTGTTTTCAGCTGCGTTAGAATAAAAAAAATACCTGAAGTTAGGAGCTTCTCCCTCTTGATTTCCTGCATAGATGATCGAGATGGAATGCTTCAAAGAAATCAACATCTATGAGACGGACGGGATGCTGTGCTCCGACTTGGACGTGAACCGGCCGAACCCCCCCCCAAAGAGGGGGTTCTTCTACCGCCTGTTCAGAAGAGAGGCAAGTGCTAGTGCTCCGGCTACTGTGCGAGGGGGTGGGGGCTAAGGTACTTCCTCTTTTCCTCCTTTGCTTGCTTTTTCGTTTGCTTCACAGGCCTCGTCCAAACTCAGCGTGGGGAAACTAACGCTCTTAGTCTGGGTTTGTAGATGAATGCCCGCCTCTTTCCTTTCTGCCTGGAACTAAACCCTTTACCCCCCCTGTCACGCTTCCTTATTTCCATTACGTTTTGGGAAGCTGATTAGCGGGCGAGAGGAAAACGGACTCGGCTTGATCAAGATTAATATTTGTCAGTGTTAACATGTAACTTTTATGTTTTTTATGTCATCTTTCAAACTTTTGTCTTCTCTCCCCCATGTTTGATATTTCCTAGGGATGGACAATATATCGGCATCAATATCGGTATCAGCCAATGCTAGTCATTTTTTAACATATCGGTATTGGTCCGATAAATAAAATCAAGCCGATATTAACAACCGATAATTTTCCCATCTTGTCTCCATTTGTTTATCTGTTTCAGAGGGCGAGGGGGGTGATGTGTATTTGTTTAGTTGTATGTAGGGATGTCCGGTTCCGATATCGATATCGGAAGTAATTCGATATCGGCCCAAAAACACAATTGGATTAGATTGGACAGCGTCAACACTCTCCGATATAAGCGGTCTGTTAAGGTTAATGTTTTTGCAACCAACGGTCAAGATAAGAATTGTCATTTTTTTTTCATACTTACTGTTACTGGCCCTTGTTCTCCAATTGAGTGGTATCACTTGATCAAGACTTTCATACATTCCATACTACGAAATAAGTAAAAGTATGTATGATTTGTGCTGATATCGAATTGGATTGATATTGGTATCAGTCAAAACTGAAGGCTGCAATATCGGTATCGTATCGAAAGTGAGAAAGTTGTATTGGGACATCCCTAGTCATGTGACAGTAATCATCTCAGAAGAGTAAATGTGTGTGGTGTGTACTTGCATAATAACGTAAATTCAGCTTCAATAATTTTCATTTTATACAAAATCTGATTTTAGAAGCATTGATATCAATATATCGGTATCGTCAAATATCGGTTGTCGGCCATAACAGTGATCTTAATATCTGTATCGGCCCAAAGATTTCATATCTGTGCATCACTACTTCCTGGTATTATCTCCCTGAACATCGATTATTCTGTCTTCTTGTCAAACTTGGATAAGAGAAGCTGTTCTCTTAGGAACAAACTGAAAGTAATGATGAGCGTTCCTCGTAGGAAATGAGATCAGCCGCTAACTTTTCGGAAACTTTAAACTAAGCTCAGACTGTGTGTGAAACCTCAGCTACAGTACTACCACGGTAATATTTTCTAGTATTAATGGCATTTTTGACTTTATGTGTTTCATTAGCTTTGACAGCTGTCTTCTTCGGGGTTGAAACCATAATGTAATCAGCTCTAGACGTACATCTAATGAAGGATTTGAAATAATTTAATTAAAATCTATTTATTGGTTTACAAGCTGCTGTGCTAAGACTAAAAAACGATGGATTAAAATGTATTTTTGCTGAATAAGGCAGCTAGTTTACATGTCATGTAACGTCACGAAATGGCCTGATTTTGAGATCCCACGGGCCAAGATCTACAGCCAGGTCAACTTAACCTGGCTATGACACAACCTACAATATTTTCCCCTCACAGGAGACTGGAAGTCTGCACGTAGTCCCTTTAATCAGGGCCTGCCTTCCTCACACCAGCTGGACTGCAGCTCTGAGAGATAATAAAAGATAAACGATAGCATTCTCTCTCCTCCAAGGTCCATCACAGAGAAACTCTTTTAAATGAACTCCTTTATTCCCAGTAGAAAGAAGATTTTATAATTAAATATAATCATTAAATATTGCTATTTATAATTATAAACAATGAAATGTTCATTGATCTGTGACATAAGCTTAGTATGTTTACTTGACGAGGTCATGGCATTTGTGCTCACAAGTAAAGTTAAGTTAACGCATGACACATAGTTAACCTTTTGCCCAGATTCAGTCTCCACATCAACAAGAGTGTGTCTCTGAGATGCTTGGTAATATCTTCAAACGTGTCAATCTGTGGTTGGCTATTCAATCATAACATCAATCCATTAAAACTAGCCAGCTCTGGTTTTTCCCTCAGTTTGAACAGTTCAACAGTTCGAGGGTTCTAGAGAAAAGCTTCAGACTGGCCATCTGAGCGAAAGCCTCTTTAACCAGTTAGGATTTTGACACGTTGTCAAAACCTTAAACCTTTTTCGCACCTGCGAAGCTGAGAACAACAAGATAGTATCTGACGCAAACTCCTTCAGAGTTATTTTTAAGACGCTCGGTTTCGTCTATCGGTTCCTGGACATCTAAGATCCAAATGGGGGGTCTCCAGAACGGGTGAGGTAGAACACAGCGAGATAGCGTCTGTCTGTGGTTTTGATAATAACAACTTTCTAACTTCTTTGCAAACCAAATTCTTTCCATCCAGAACTCCGATTTTTGAGATACGGAGACTCGGAATACATTATATTCACACATAAGTTCCAGACACCATGCTTTAGTTCCATCCACTCAAAGTATAATAGTTCAACCGATTTGTCAAGTTTTAATTGTTTGTAAAATAAATTCTTAAAATGTATAAACCTGACTGTTTCTTGAATCAAACGAAGTGTGTACGATCCCTTAATGAATAAAAGAATTCTAGAATCTTCTGATTAAAACGGTAAGACCATTTATACGACGACCGTAGATTCCACCCCTACGACTGAGCTCTGGGTTGTGGCTAGACTACATATTTATATGTTTTTGGATGGTTTGCCAGGCTGGTAGATGTGCTTTTCAAAAGTTCGACTTAAATCGGACTAAGGCAATAATTCGGTTTGCTCTTACGGCATGTTAACCAACTGACTTGCATCAAAGAATCAATGTTTATAAAGTTAAAAGTTAAAGTCCCATTAGTTGTCACACACACAGGTGTGTGTGCGAAATTTGTTCTCCGCATTTGACCCATCCCCTGGGGGAGCGGTGAGCTGCAGACACAGCCGCGCTCGGGAACTATTTGGTGGTTTAACCCCCCAATCCAACCCCTTAATGCTGAGTGTCAAGCAGGGAGGCATTGGGTCCCATTTTTTCAAAGTCTTTGGTATGACCCGACCAGGAATCGAACCCCTGATCTCCCAGTCTCAGGGCGGACACTCTACCACTAGGCCACTGAGAAAGGTGGCCTAGTGGTAATTTATTCATTTATATCCCTAACTTATTATTAGGGATGGACACTATATCGGCATTGATATCGGTATCGGCCGATGTTAGCCATTTTTTAACCTATCAGCATCGGTCCGATAAATAAAATCAGGACGATATTATCAACCGATATTTTTTTCCATCTTGTTTCCATTTTTTTTATCTGTTTCAGAGGGTGGAGGGATGATGTGTATTTGTTTAGTCATGTGACTGTGATTGTAATCATCTTAGAGTAAATGCGTGTGTGGTGTGTGTGTACATAATAACGTAAATTCAGCTTTAATAATTTTAATTCTTTACAAAATCTGCTGATTTTAGAAGCATTAATGTCAGTATATCAGTATCTGCTATAACGGTGATCTTAATATCTGATATCTGTACCAGCAAATATCGGTTATCAGCCATAACGGTGATCTTAACTCATTCACTGCCTGCGTTTCTCAGCGTTTTTACTGTTTTTTTAAGAGTCACAGAACGTTGCGCGCTAGGATGATGTCGACGCCAAAACAACCAAAACAAATTGGAGACTCACCTCTTACATCAGGAAGAATCCACGCGTTTCGAGCGTTATCCGTTCTTTCGTGATCTGTTCTTGAATTGCGATCGGCAGAAGCTTTTCCAGTTCGCGCCTCACTTTTTTTTACAGCAGCAGCCCAAAACGATCTCCTAACACATGGATGTTCTGCTTCCTGATCATGTGACGTACGCGGATGAAGATCAGCTTTAGAGCTGAGATGTTTGTTCTCACGGTGCGGGGGCTCGTCCGACGCCCACACAGTAAAAACATGCAAATGACGACTTTAATCGTCATTGGCAGTGAATGAATTAATATCGGATATTGGTATCGGCCCAAAAATGTCATGTTGGTGCATCACTATTTATTAGTTTAAAGATGAAATTTGATCTGATCTGGACTTTTGTTCAATAACAAAGAAAGTGCAACAACCAGCTTCCTCCCAGTCTGCTGCTGATGAAACCCGTCCAGACGTAGCTCCCACTCATGAGCTGGTTTCCACATTTGTAACGTCTTCCTGTTGTTCTTCCCCAGGTCTGCTTTAAGAGCGGCTACAGCGACGATGAGACCGAAGAGCCCTCACGACTTTAAACCACTCCCTCCACACGCTGCCCCCTCCCCGCCGCAGAGCTTCACCACAAACTCCGAACCGAGCGAGAAACTTAGGAACTCAGTGAATGTCGACCTGTATTTATGAGCTGTATTAAAAGTGTATTATAATTACAGAAAAAAGTATGAGTTTAAAGATTTTGTACATTTGTACTTGAATTTATGTCTAGATGTATATTTTCACTAAAGGTTGTATTGTACAAAAAGCCATAAAAGTACCACTTGAATGCATACGTTATGTTTTTATTTTTCATGATTTGGAGTGAGTATGGATCAGATGTGATGAGGATTTTCTTTTAAGGAGCACAGCAGCAGCTTTCTTTTGCTAGATCTCCATGTAGTTATTTTTTTTTGGTGTGTTTTGCCTCCGAATCCCTGATGTCGTCGCTTTTCAAACGTTTAGATCCAGATGATGTGTGAGTAACTTATTCTGGTCTGTTGTTGCTGCGGATGTCGTGCTGCTCCAGCAGCTCCCTGATGCTTCGCGGGGCGGATTTCCGTGGGAACGGGTTGGATTAAACCGAGCCCATTTGTGCGATTTAAGGGGGAAACGACCAGCGGGTGCTGTGCCTGCATCGACTCGCGTCTGGGCTAGGCGGCGTGGATTAGTTTTCTGGTGATCGTTGATTTCATAAAATACAAATCAAACATTTGGGAGGCCGTCTGCTCCTCCCGATGCTTTCGTTGTGCTGACGTCTGAAATCTTTCCTGAGCTGGAACAGACTCGGAGCATGAATTTTAAAATTCCCGACAGCGTTTCCTGAGGGAGCACAGCTGTTAGACAAATGTCTGTTACAGTATTCACAGTAGAGCTCTTTCTTTGTCGTTTCTTTCTGCTTTTCACCTGCTTTTAATGATGAGCTTCACAACTCTTGGAAAAAAACTCCGGATTATTGACCAGGAATAGTTTGAACGAGCGATTCTTCTTGGTGAAACCCTCATCGCAGCTAAGATTTAGTCCGTTTAACAACAAAAGCCTGATAAATCAAAGTGACTTCCGCTAACTCGGCTGTCAGCGGCTTCCTCGTGTTTGTCCCGTTTCTGATCCACGCGGCTTTAGCTGTAATAAGTGTTTGTGTTTCAGGGCAGACTCTGAAAACTCGGCGCTAATGTTTTCACCGGTCATGAACAAGCACGTTTTTCTGTCCCGTTCTGCTCGTGATGCCGTCGACTCACCCCAGTACCTGTTTTTAATGCTGTGAAAACCCCACCTCCACGTGCCACATCTGCTTCACTCTAAGCTAATGCAGGTTTATTCCATCGTGTGCGTTGGATTACAGCAGTGAGATTATTCCAGTTGGCTTTCGTGCAGCGTTTGTCAGCCCAGAATGATATCAGGACATGAAAATTAGCTGAATTATGTTTTTTTTTCTCCTCCCAATACTGTCACGATATGGTACTCCTATAATCCCTGTTGTTTTAGAGAGGTAGGTTGTCCTGAAGGTTCGTCCTCTCTTGCACATTCCACCACCAGGAATCTGTTGTGTTTATCTGGCTGTTGCTGGCTTATTGTTACCCGAGTTTCTGTATCTGTTAAAACAATTATTTTGCTCTCAGGCACATTTTGATGCTGATTTATCTTACATGTGTAGATTTTTAGCCTTTTAGCTCTCTAGCCTCAAAACAACCTTGTAAATGATGCATTTCTAACTTGTAACTAAGCTCTAACATAGTCATTCTCACAGGGAAAGTATACTGTGTCTACCACTCATGCCTTTGTCATTGTTTTTACCGATCTCTTGTACAACCCATGCAGCAGTGAAGAAGCCCTGTTTGGTCTCATTGCACTATGGTGTGTTTTGACAATGACTATGGGAAGTGTCTTTTAACTCTTTTTGCCAATGATACCAAAAGCAGCGTTCGCTGAGTTAAACTTTGTCTGGAGAACTGACTCACTAAAGACTGACTGCCTTTTATTTTATGTGCCGATTTCCAGGTAAATTTGTGACTCATCGCCTTTTGTTTTTTAAAAACCTTTAACTTTCCGTCCACTGATTGAAATCCGTTCATATAAAAAAGTTTAAACTGTTTTGAATGTCCGCACTAAGTGCATCGTATTGCCTGTTTAAAAAAAAAAAAAGAATACACGTTTTATTACTCAGCATGTACCAGTTTGTAATACTTCAGGATCCTTGTATATGTAAAAGGTGACCTGGTGCCAACATATCTCACTGGTATCTGAGGACAGCTTTATGAATAGCAAGGTGACCAGCTGAGTTGGCCCGGTTTGGATTACTAATCTGTACAAGTTTAAGGGTTTAGCCATTAATTTCTGTGAAAAATGTCTATTAGTAATATTTCAAGGAAGGACGATTAATTATTGGTATTCCAACTAGGCCTAGATCTTTTTTTTTCTTCAGTCTGTACAGTCATGTTGTTCAACCACTGCAGTCATTGTTAATTCTTGTACAAGTTGTATCACTGGTTGTTGTACCATATCTGACATTTGTAATTATGAAACAATACACTGCCATTTGTATTTAAAAAAGGCTTGTTCTCTCCTCCTGCTCCCTCACATCATCACACAAACATGCACATAGGACCTTGGGGGTGGACCCCATTTCCGCATTACTGTGGCAAACTGCCCCCCAATTTTATTTGCACCTTAAACACTTCCACCAACGACATTCCATGCAAGTACACACTATAGGGCCTTGGGAGTGAGCACATTCAACTGCATTTGGCAGGGGGATTTCTCAGCCTCATCCCGAGTGCCGGTGCCCACTTCCAATTTTAAACTGCACTTAGACACTGAGGGCTGTGGGTGCAAGTGGGGTGGTGTGGTGGCATCAGCTGGCATAGGCCAGACACTGCCCGCTCACCACAGCCATGGAATACACCTCATCAACACTCACTAACACTATAATGGAGCAGGGGTCTTAGCACACCTCTGTTGTCGCTTGGCTTCCTTGGACTGGAGGCTAGGAGGGAGATCCGGCCGTCCGGTTGGGGTCTGGGGTGGTGGAATGCTGTGCTCGGCGTTGGGCGGGGGAGCCTGCTCGTCAGCACCCCAGCAGAAAGGGTCGAACTCTGGGAACCGGTAATGGTTGTACCCCATGTGCAGCAGTACTGGGACCAGAGTGAATAGGGTGTATGGGGAGCATGAGTGGGTGTCCGGCGTGCATTTTGTATGTCTTTGGTTGTATGTGTGTGTGTGAGCATGAGGGAGGGAGTGTGTGACTGTGTTGGTGTATGACTGTATATGTCAGGTGGGGCCTTTGGCAACTCCCTTCTCCTGGGACTTTTTTTGATGATATAGATCTTCGTCTCCCCTCCCCCTGCCACACCTGGTGTGGAGTGTGGTGCCTTGGTCTGCCTGGGTCGTGGCTCCCGGGTCAGGGAGTTTAAGATTTTTGGCGTCTGCCTGATACATCCTGGTGGCTGCCTGGTGGGGTCTGGGTCCCTGGGCTCTGCTGGGTCCCCAGCGGGGGTGGTCGCCCCGGGTCATTGGGTCCCGGGCTCGGTCGGCTAGGGGGTGGGAGGCTGCGGGTGGGCCTGTGGGCTTGCCGCCGATATCTCCCGGGACTCTACCGGCTGCTGGTTGTGGCCCCCCGGGCGATCCTCTGCGCCTCTCGAGGGGGGCGGGGGCTTTTCTGGTCACAGTCTCCCTGGGGTTCCTGTGCTCTGGGGCAGCTCCTGGATCTCTGGGACTTGGAGCTCCCTCTGTCTCCTGCACATCTTTAGGGGGCAGATCTGTGGCTCCTCACACTCTCTATTGGACGCTCCTATAGAGAAACCTTACATAAACAAGCGCGTGTACACACACAGGTGCTCACATGTGCTCTCATGAGTATGGACTTGGGCACGTTCAACACATGTCTTAAGGCTATGGTGGGCACTTAATGCACTGTGATTCATTATCGTGTGATTGTTCAGTTAAACAATGCTGATTTTACATTTCTTCATCAAGTTGACACATTATTATTATTTTTTTTTCTTCTCTCTTTCCGCAGGTCTAGAAGCAGACTCTTGTTCATTGTGTCTTTTTGTGAACCCCCCCCCCCCCCCCCCCCCCCCCCCCCCGTCTCTTCCTTTCTCTTTCACCTCTGACTCTGTGTCTGGTCGGAATTAAAAAGCATTCAAAAACTATAACAATAATTTTTTTAAGTATCAGGCGTGACATTAAAAGCAGACGCTTTGATGCTCCACCTGAGAGTAAATCTGTAAGGCTTGTCACCAGCAGTCAGACATCAATTCTATTTGCTTCACAGCCAGACAGAACACGGGGGGAAAAAAACGAGAAAAAAACTTGTTTTAACTTTTTATTTATATGAACTGGATATTTGCATCTATGAACATCGCTCTTCATTTTTTTGTTTTACTACAATTTGGATAATTACATGTCTCTTTAGTAGAGCTGATTTAAAGTCGGGCACATCTGCAGACAGCTGGGTGTTGCTGCAGAATTTTTTTAAATGTTTATTTAGGTCTTTAAAAAACACCTGCATAATAAATGCTTTAAAACCTTATGGTCAATTTACATTTCTTTTAGTTTTTTAAGACTTTTGCCAGTTTTTTGTTTGACTAACTTTGGTTAAACATTTTATTTAAAACCAAACAGTGCACAGATTCAAAAGATTTGTTAAATTCAGTGACTGATTCAGATATGTTTTGCATCCACTTGTTGGTGACGTTTCAGCATACATATGGTGGAAAACGCGTAGCCATGAGAAATCGGCTCAACAGTGGCAGCACATATCGGCATCCGTATCGGTACAAGAAAGCCCATATCGGTCTATCTCATTCAACTAAGTTAAATATGTTTATTTTAAACATAACTGCGACACTTTGTTGGCACTCGTGGCAACGTGATAAACCACAGCAACCATAACTGGCGTTGGTGCAAATCTGAGTGGAATTCAGGATTTTAACGGTCCCGTGACCGAAACAACAAGGTTGGGGGTCTCGATAAACAATTGGCTCGCTGTTAAGTCAATCATCATTTTGTTACAATCTGATTGGTTGGCGACCATAAGCACCTCTTCTCTACGTCACGCTGTCACGCATTCCACTTCCTGGTGTGATTGTCGGGGAGGACGCAGCGCTGCATCAAAGATGGCACGCTTTCAAACTCGAATTGTTTCTTTTAGGAGGAATATTAAGGAATAAAGCGACACTCTGCAAGGAGAGAGCCCGGAGAGCGGGTGGTAGCTGTCACGCTACGCACCTCTCGCTCTCTGAAACAGCTTGTCTCCACTCTGCTAAGTGTTAGCACAAACAGTAAATATTAGCTACTACTGAAGCTGGCTTACTTGTAGGGTGCTAAAATGGCCACCATGGAGAAACTCATGAAGGCCTTTGAGTCTCTGAAGTCGTTTCAGCAGCAGCAGGGACCGCCGACTGCAGAGGAGCTCGTTCAGAGACAGTAGGTGGATTTTTTTTTCTTTCCAACAGCGACTGCTAATATAGCAGGTAGCTTAGCTTGCTAGCGACATCAGTGCACCTTGAGGGAACTTGAAGTTACTGTAGAAAAACGAACCATCACAACCCAAACAGTTTTTTTTTAGCATTATCAGGTTTTAATGTCGGGGTTTGGCATCTTTTTGTTTATCGGGACTCCTTCCCTTTCTGTTCACGGAGCCGTTATTATAGCAGCTTGTTAGCCAACAGACGATGATTCATTCCCGCGTATGTGTGGGAAAAAAGCCAAGAGGACACATTTAAAGCTTCTCTGCTTGTATATTTTAATAGAACATGGGTTCACGTGTTTACATATCGTTAATCTGTTATCTCCAACCGTAATGTCTCAATGTGAGCTTCAGACCTGTTCATAGAAGGCAGGTTCATTCATTACAGTGATGTAATGACATGGTTGAGCTGTCTCCCGTCTCAGTCTGGATCTTTACAGTGTGCTGGTGAAGGATCTCGGCCATCCAGGTCATGGTTATCCAAAAGGGTTCAAATGAAGGCAGCTGGACTTCTTTGGTTTCTTGAAGACGTTTTGCTTCTCATCCGAGGAGTTTTTACAGACCTAACTGGAATATGAGAGAGTCAAGCTTATAAGCTGTAGCTGTCTGTTGTTATTTAACGAGCAGAAACTACTCTGATCCCCCCTTCTCTCTACCCCTGATGAGTCGTTAGCCTCTATAGAGAGAGAGCAGTGTTGATAGTTTCTCAAGAAAACCTGCATTTGTTTGGACACTTTACTTTTCTGTTTCTGGTGCTGTGAAGCTTAGAGGATTTGTACTGCTATTTTTTTATAGCTTTTTTCACTTTTTGAGCATTTGTTATGATGCGTAACCATGGCAACAAGCTGGTTTACAATCGGGAGCAGCTGATTGACATTGGAAAGGCTGAAATAATACCTGAAATAATACCTCAACTGAAGTCACAAATCCCAAATGAGCTAAAACGCAAGAAGCGTGGGTGTAGAGCGGGAGCAAAACGGAGACCGAGAGAGAGGAAATTCAAACCATCTCTTCCATCGATCATAATGGGCAATGTGAGATCACTGGCCAACAAGATGGAGCAACTCCAAGCCCTTTCAAAGACTCAGCCAGAGTTTCGGCAGTTTCGGAACCGCTGGAGGAGATAATGCAAAGAAGGATTCTCCAGAGAATCAAGAAAATGATGGACAACCCTGAGCATTCTCTTCACAAGACTGTCCGACAACGGAAGTGTGTCTTCAGTCAGAGGCTTCTTCAGTTTTGCTGTAACACTGACCGCTACTGGAGATCCTTCCTGTCTTTCGTGGTTGTTTAAGGAATGAGCAGCAGCTTGTTGCACCAGTTGGGTTAAATATCTTGTTGCAGCTGAAAGATACTCGCCCTCCAGTAATTATCCAATAGGAGGCTCCCACCTGTTTGCTTAGTTAAATCATGGTGGAGACTCTTATTTTTTTTTTGGCCAAGCTATGTAAATGCATACATGGGATGGCTCACCTGCCTCTCTTCATTAGTTGCTTTATTACTGCTGCTGAAGACGGTCACAACCTGAAGAAGCAACACAATCTGTCACCTGGCTGAGAAACCACGACCAACAGTTCGGTTTTATTGTCTTTGTAATTTTCTCCTTCTGCTGTTGTCTTACACCCGTAGGCTTTAATTCAGTTCTGCTAGAGATGGAATTATTTTGTTGGTGGACTTTGATGAAAGCATCTCTCTCTCTCTGTCTCTCTCTCTGTCTCTGTCTCTCTCTCTGTCTCTGTCTCTCTCTCTCTCCGTCTCTCTCTCTCTCCGTCTCTCTCTCTCTGTCTCTCTCTCTCTCTGTCTCTCTCTGTCTCTCTGTCTCTCTCTCTCTCTCTGTCTCTCTCTCTCTCTGTCTCTCTCTCTCTGTCTCTGTCTCTCTCTGTCTCTCTCTCTCTGTCTCTCTCTCTCTCTCTCTCTCTCTCTCTCTCTGTCTCTCTCGCAGAAAAAAGGAGCAAGCAACGACAAAGAAGGACAGGGTGACCCACTGCCTGACCATATGTGAAAACATCGTGGCTCAGTCACTGAGGTAGGAGTTAAATCATGTTTCTGTTAGAGGCCTGCTTCGTTTTATATGCCTCTAATAATTACTCTGAAATGTTATTAGACTTAAATCTCTGACAAAAATCTCAAAAGATTTTGAAAATGCTATTTCTTGGTTATTCTGTGTTTATGTGACATCATCAGTATTTATGTGCTCATGAGTCCTATACATGTTTTAAAGATGGTCAGTCTTTGTCATTATTCGGAAGTGGCAGCGAGTCAAGAGCTTCCCTAACCAGATTCCCAAGGACATGTGGGAATATTATTATTTGATAGTAATAAGAAGGTGAATACTAAGTTCTCTCATTTACTTCATGGTGTGCTCTCTCAGCAGCCTAGTGGTAGGGATGTCCCATTCCGATATTGGTATCCAATATCGGCCCAAAAAAAACTGTATCGGATTATATCGGACTGCATCAAAAATCTCCGATATAAGCAGTCCGTTCTGCTTTAAATTCTATCCAGCAGCGCCCAGATCCGGCGTGCAAAGTCCACATGATCAGAGCAGTGTTTGCTAGCAAGGAGCGATGTCGGCCATGTGGCGGTATTTTTTGTTAAAGTCCAAAGCCCCATTCCCATCTGTACCGGGTCGGCCCGGGCCGGGTAGCCCCAGTCGGCCCCAGCCTGGCCCGGTTGATTCCACACATCCTTGTCTTAAGCCCATGTGGGCTGATTCTACCCACCAATCAGAGGCTTGCTCTAATGGAAGGTGTGAATGGGCTGATTCTACCCACCAATCAGAGGCTTGCTCTAATGGAAGGTGTGAATTTCTTGTCAGCAGTGGGTGTGTTGGCCCTGGTCGGCCTGAAGCAGTACCCCTCGGGAAGAGGGCCGAGAATGAGCCTTGGTTGGCCCGGGAAAATTCCAGGCCACCCAGATATGTAAACAACCTACGCTACCCGGCCCGGGCCGACCCGGTACAGGTGGGAATGGGGCTCAAAAAAGACAGTTTGGCTCAGTGCAACACTTGTCATGCACAAACTTCCAAAGATTGAACAGAACCGGGGAAGTTTTATACGTCCACCCTCGATGTGCATTTGAAGCAGGTTCACAAAACATTACATGAGGATTTTCGCAGTGAGTGAAATTAAAACTTTAGACCAGGGATATGCAATTCTGGGCCCGGATGTCCGGTATCAAGCACGTTTTAATGGTTTCTCTGATTCAACACACTTGATTCACCTGTGCAGCAGCTCATCAGGCTCTGCAGAAGCCTGTTAATCACCTGCTGATTAAAATCAGGTGTGTTGAAGCAGTTAAAAGTAAAACGTGCTGGATACCGGACCTCCAGGCCCAGAATCGCATACCCCTGCTTTAGACACAACTTGTAGCAGTTGGTCAGTGAACAATATTGTGTGTTTTTCCTTACGTCTCCTCCCTCAGCTGTTCACATTTATGCAACCAAAGGTTATTAAAAAGTCACTTGATCAAGCCTTTTCTACCAAATAGGTAAAAGTATGTGTGATTTGTGCTGATATATCGGTATCGGTTAGTACTGAAGGCTGCAATATCGGTATTGTATCGGAAGTGGAAAAAGTTGTATCGGGACATCATGACCCAGTGGTACATTGTCCACCCCGGGACTGGGAGATCGGGTTCAAGTTCCCGTCGGGTCATACCAAAGACATTAAAAATGGGACCCAACGCCTCCCTGCTTGACACTCAGCTTTAAGGGGTTGGATTGGGGGTGAAACCATCGAATAGTTCCTGAGCGCTGCCACTGCTGCAGCTCACCACTCCCCATGGGGACGGGTCAGATGCAGAGATGTAATTTCACCAGCGTGTGATGACCAATGGGACTTTACCTGAACTGTTTCCTCTGAAGAGGCTCAGATTGTTGTGAAGCCTTTGATGTGCTGTTCCACAAACTTAAATGTGCTTTTGAGCAGAAGAGTTGGTGCCAGGGCAACATCTTAGTTTCATTCTGCTGCAGGAAAGCTTTAATTGGCTGAGCGTAAATGCATGTTGTCAGAGGAAGAGTCACCGGTGGGAAAACTAACGCTGAAATTAGCGGAAAATGTGAACAAGAGGTTTGGAAAAATCCGACTCGATCTGCTTTGTGCTCTGATTAAACCCTTACTTTGATAATCCAGCATGTTCTTGGTGTAAAAGAGACAGCAGCTTACAGACCCTTTTACTGTTTGTAAACAATATGACGTCAGCGAGAATGCGCGCGCAGCTTGGCAACAGAGAATGGCGTTGTGTCAGGCTTTATCAAGCTACGCTGCAGGGTTATCACCGGCAAATCTTGAATGTTATATTATTGAATTCACTTTAACAAATGGCAACAGACTCCCAGATCCCTGTGGCATTACGGAATGGGTGGAAGATGTAGGTGCGTGGCCAGATATCCAGTGGCCCGATATATATACATTTTTAGTGGAGAGGCCCAGTAAGAACACACGTGAGATACAAATTGTTAGATGCATACAACTATGTTGTCTGTGGCCACGTACAGAAAGTAAAATATCACGACATAGACTCTGAGTGTTGCATCTTGAAGGCAGAAGTCCTTCCTAGCCAAAGACAAGGACACAAGACTGCTATGTACGAGGCTTGGGTCATAGTAAACAAACCAGAGAACTACGTCTTCACAGCCAACTGTACCTGCATGGCAGGGTGAGTATAGCATAGGTTTCTTTTTTTAGCGTGCTCAGAGTACAATCGTGTTAATTTTAGAGAAATACAGTTTATACTAATATGCAGTGGGAAAATACAGATGAATTAGAATGAAATGTTAATTTGAAGCATGAAATAAAGCATATAAATTTGTTTAATTCTGTCATTTTGATGTTCCAGACTTGGGTCATGCTGCAGCCACGCAGCAGCAATTTTATTCAAAGTTGAGTTTTGTGTTAGGATGGGAAAAACAGAAAAGGCTGCAGTTACATCTCAGGCATGTGCATGGAAAGACCTGAGCAGGAAAAATGTAGAACCAGCTCCACTGAAGAAGATCAGTTTCCACAAACCGAAGAAGTTTAGCATAAAAGCTCCCAGCTGCTTCCGAAACTGTTAGGAGGAGCAGTGTCACACTAAGAGGCATGTAACGAATGACAAGTGTAATCTAAAGTTCTGGTTTGTGGTTGCACATTGAATGTATTATTTCTTAATTAATTGGTAATAATATACACGCAACAACCCGACATTTTTATGTGCTCAGAACTTCAAAACAAAGGGTTTAAAACGCTGTTTTAGTATCGAGTGTGAATGAGGAAGCCTTCACTCTCGTTGCCCGGCTGCGCACGCAACTTTTGATGACGTAGGTAGTAAAAGGGTCTATTAACGGTGACTTTCATGTCATAAAAATGAGATTTACGTCTCCAGAGCCCCCTTCAGACAGGCCATGAAAAACGGAAATGTTCGGGACTCTGTCCTTAAGACCTTTGTGTCTGAATACAAACATCCGGATAACCTTTTCCGTAATTAAACCGGACGAAGCCCCTAGTAACAGGACCGGACTTGTCACGGACAGGTTAGCTGCTTCAGACTGGTGAGGTCGAGTTCCGGACAGGGAGGGGACCGGGAGGCGCTGTGCGCACCTAGATGGCTCGCTCCTGTAGCCTGCGGTGATCCATGGCAGCTCGCCTCCTACGGTACCGTCTCCTAGGCGCGAGACGGAGCGCTTCACACCGCTTCCGTGATTCCTTTATTAACCATTGAGCTTCATCATCCAGGTCTCGTCTTCATGTGTGCAGAATTATGCTTAACATAAGTCCGACCAGTGAGAGGAATTCTAGCTCTTCGTCGGCCATGTTTGAATGAATAGCTTTGTTTGGGTAAATGACGCATGTACGCCCGCCGCACCATGTTTACGCAATATCCGGGTACAGCCTTCCCACCCCCTCCCCCTCAGACATCTGGAACTTTTCCCTGCTGTGTGAAGGCAGCTGAAAGGACAAGTTCAGGTACAAAAGTGGTGTGTCTGAAAACACAGTCCTGGTTAAAAACCGGACTGAATTGTCCACACATGTTCCAGAATGCCAATCTGAAAAGGGCTCAGGCGTGTTATGCCAATCCTGATGTTTGCTGTGTGTGATTCTGCAAACAGAACATCTCCAGAGTTCCAGAAGCTGCTCGGCATCGCCATGGAGATGTTCCTTCTCTGCAGCGACGACGGTGAATCAGATGTGCGGATGGTAGCTGACGAGTGCCTGAACAAAATCATCAAAGTGAGCAAAAACCTGCAAGACTCCTCCCACTTTAAAGTTGGCTTTGATTCGACGGTGTTGGACTTTTTATCTGACTGACTGGCTTGTTGTCGGCAGACTCGCGTTTATGTCGCAGTTTGCATTAAATCTGGCCCTCCATGTTTCCCATCAGCACAGACGTCGAGAGTTGGGGTCGAGGGAAAAGCTTCGCCTCAAGTAGTTTTGAGGGGTTTTCTCCTAATTTTTGCATTAAAGGAAACTTTTGATTTTAATGAACAGAAAACAGTTTAGTTGTTATAAAACGATCTCTGTGAGGATTTCTGTTTGTTTTCGTTGTTGAACCAGTGCTTGTTTTAACTCTTCAGGCTCTGATGGACTCAAACCTGCCCAGACTGCAGCTGGAGCTGTACAAAGAAATCAAAAAGGTCGCTTGCAGGTTTCTACAGTACCCCGAGTTTAGTTTGTGATCTAGTAAATAACGACAAGCGTTGTCATTTGTTTTTCACGGCTCAACAGAACGGTGCCTCTCGGAGTCTAAGAGCAGCTTTGTGGAGGTTTGCTGAGCTCGCTCATCTCATCCGACCACAGAAATGCAGGTAGCTGTCTAAATGTTCCTGTTATGTCGTCATATTCAGATGGCTGAACGTTAAAGGTGCAGTATGTAAGATTATAGTGAGAATGTTAGTGTGAAAATCCCATAAGAGTCTGTTTCAGTCATGTTGGCAGGAAGGTTAAACTGAAACATGTTTCATATCCAGCTGGCTGTGGGAATTGTCAGATTTTCTCCTTTCAATACAAAGGAAGGAGGGACGTAACTGCTTTACATCAGTGAGTGTGGCGTTGCCGAGCTAATGCTGCAGCGCCGACGACGGCCGGCAAAAAGCTCCAGAGTTGTTTAAAGAGCAAGTCACCCCCTACCAGAGTCTTACTCCGCTCCCACTTCCTGTTTGTTAAATGCAACAAATGCTGTTGCCTAGCAGACCGAGAGGGCGGAGCCGCTAACAAATACACACACAGGCTCACAACGACTTTGTGACATCATATGGTACCAGCTAACATTCTAGGGTAACTCTTAGCCAATATCGATGGCAGATTTAAATTCAAATGCAGTGCAGAGTTTTTACCTGACAACGGCACAACACTGACAGTTTTAGGCAGAAAATTTAAATTTTAACTAAAATGCACTAAAGTGCAAAACTATTGACTACACGTGTCTGCAGCACGATTAGACACACGTTTATATAGTTTATCGGGAAAAAAAATGTTGATTTGGGGGTGACTTGCTCTTTAACGTGGCTGCAGTAACCACATTTTACCACAGGATGTCATTTTTACTTCATTTCTACATGATGCACCTTTAAACATGGTCTTCTAGGTTTACGTAAAACAATGGGCTGGATGATTTAAGCTGCGTTGCTGAGAGCCAGGTGAAAATGAAATGATCAGAATCTGGTGCAGAAGTTAATTTATGTCAGTAAAACAACCTAAAAGGTAAAACTAATCAGAGACTGACTCGGTCCATGCAAATCCAGATGTTTTGGCCTTTATCTGTTCCATCTGTGATGATAATGGTTACAGCTGATGAAAACCCCACATTCAAAATCTCCAGCAATCAGAATATTGTTCAATGTTCTAGACTCTTAAGTGTCACGGTCTAATCAGCTGATGAATCCAGAACACCTGCAGAGGGTTCCTGAGCCTTTAGATGGTCTCTCAGTCTGAGCTGAATTACTTACATGAATGGACTTTTTCTCCAGATTCCAGTTTTTAGAGTTTTATTTGTAGTTTTTCTTCTGTCGAATCCCTAAAACTTGTTTAACGACTAAACTTGTTTTGTTAAAATGTGGCTGAGAACTCCTCGTGTAGCCACCGTGGCAGCGACTAGTCACGTTCAGTGTTGTCTCCGACTCAAATACATCACAACCTGATTGTGCTTCTCTCTGCGCTGCAGACCGTACCTGGTCAACTTGCTCCCATGCCTCACCAGAATCACCAAACGGCAGGAGGAAATGGTTCAGGAGACTCTGGCTGCAGCGGTGCCCAAGATCATGTCAGCCTTGGGACATTTCGCCAACGACGGCGAAGTCAAGGTGCGCCCCGCCCACTTGTGTGTTTTGTCAGAGTTATGTGTTGGCCTCTTGGCGAAGTATCCGTCTGTGCGGTCAGACCGCAGCTTTAGAAGCACATCGTTTCATTTAGCGTCTTTTTTTAGGTGCTGCTGAAGTCATTTGTTGCCAACCTGAAGTCCAGCTCCCCCACCATCCGGCGTACGGCAGCCAGCTCGGCCGTCAGCGTGTGCCAGCACTCGAGACGCAACAGCTACTTCTACACCTGGCTCCTTAACGTGCTGCTGGGTGGGTTACTCTAGAAGAGTGCTTCGGTAACGCCCGTTTAAGGGTAACGCCCAGTTTAACGGCAACACAACACACCTGTTCCATCGTTCTCTAGGCCTGCTGGTTCCGGTAGACGACGAGCGCCTGAGCCACCTGATTCTGGGGGTGCTGCTAACTCTCCGCTACCTGATGCCTCTGCTGCAGCATCAAGTCAACACCTCCAGCCTCAAAGGCAGCTTTGGGGTCATGAGGAAGGAGGCCGATGTGCAGCCAACACCTGAACAGCTGCTGCAGGTGAGCGTGCGTCAGGTGAATGTTCCCATGCGTTGGGGCTGTTTGCTGAACAATGCTGCGCGTGTCTGAAGGTGTACGAGCTGACCCTGCACTACACGCAGCACTGGGACCACAACGTGGTCGCCGCTGCCCTGGAGCTGCTGCAGCAGATGTTCAGGACCCCCCCACCAGAGCTTCTGCACATGCTCATCACAGCCGGCAGCATCCCACACGCCACCGTGTTTCGCCAGGACACGGAGAGCCGCGCTCGCTCGGGAAGCATCCTGGAGCTCATCGGTAATGTCAGCCGTAGAAGGAGCCGGGTGGTTTCTGCAGGGTGAAAGCTCGTCATCTCTTTGGTGCTGAGTGATGCGGCTTCGTCTTTGCTCCTTAACCCGCTCTGTCTGTTTCTAAATGATTGTCTCTTTTTTTCTGTGAGTCTTCGTTTTGCTTTTGCTGCTTCTGTCTCTCTCTCACCTCCTGATACTGCTTCCTGTTTTTCCTGCCACTTGCAGCGGGGGGAGGGTCTTCCTGCAGTCCGCTCGTTCTCAGGAAACAGAGAGGTGACTAGTCTGTTTATGTCAAAGGCCCGGCAGCTTCACCTTCACTCAAAGCTCAAGATCGATTCTAATTTATCTGTAATGAATTAAAGTGAAACCATCTAAGGTTTCCTTTAGGTGTTTACCTTGATGTCTTTGCCTGATGGTGCTTTTGTGATTTCCAGCTAAAATGCTTTCTGGGGAGGAGGACGGGTTGGAGGACGACGCTGAGAGAACTGAGGCCACCGCTGGAGCTTTTACAGGTGAGACGAGCTCTCCAGTAGGGCTGAACGATCTCATCGTTTTAGAACCGAAATTGCAATTTCGAACAGCACGATCACGTGACCGTCAAAGCTGCGGTTTTAACGGTTTTGAGTGATCCAGGATCAGTTGTGTAACTTTGTTTTACATCCGCGGTTTTCCTCCCTGTGTTATGGCGGCGGCAAAAGCCAGCGCGGGGGGAGGGGGGCGGGGTCTACCGTTCGGAGCCGAGCCCAACTCCACAGCTGCCAGAGCTGCATGTTCAGGTTATTTTCCGTTTCATGTTCCCACACACAGCGCTGCTAGAGCCAGTAATAATGCACCGTAGGTGGGCCCGGGACAGAGAGAGAGAGAGAACGTAGTTGAGTAGGGGAGAGAGAGACTCCTCCCACATCAGCAGGTTCAGGCTGGTTTCTAAAGCTTGGTTTTTGCTTCATCAGCGCGAGTGCGGAGTGGTTTGAATGTTTCTGACGGCACACGTTAGTTCAGACAGGCTAAGGTGTCAGAATGCGTGCGTCTCTCTCACGGAGCTGACGTTTCAGTGAGGAAAAACAATCAGACGGCTTCAGCCTGCCGCGGTAATGCTGGAAAACTGCATTTTTTTAATTTAATAAATTTAAAAGCTATTTCTACCTACAGATCTCCTCCATGCATTTTTGGAGTAGAACATGTTTTTATAAAGCTCCTCTCCAGATAAAAACAACAAGTTGCTTCACAAACACTTAAAAAAAGATAATGGGATAAAATATTAATAGCTTTAACTGTTTTTATTGTATGAATAAATAGTAAATATTAATGTGAATGATTTGTTGTCCTAGATTAGAATCTAGACAATCTTTTCACTTCAGCTACACTAGGGCTGCACGATATTAGGAAAACCTGCGGTATTCGATAACAGTGCTTAATATTGCGATATCGATATTGCTCACGATAAATGAAAAAATACTAAAGTATGCAGTGTTGATGTCGTTTGGCGTGTGACGTCTGCTCTGGGTTCAAAGCAAACAAAAACTAATGCATGAATTCCATTACAACATAACATTTTTATTGCAAAAACATGCAGCTGCACCTGCTACTGTATTAGCAGCTGCACCTGCTACTGTATTAGCAGCTGCACCTGCTACTGTATTAGCAGCTGCACCTGCTACTGTATTAGCAGCTGCACCTGCTACTGTATTAGCAGCTGCACCTGCTACTGTATTAGCAGCCGCACCTGCTACTGTATTAGCAGCTGCACCTGCTACTGTATTAGCAGCCGCACCTGCTACTGTATTAGCAGCCGCACCTGCTACTGTATTAGCAGCTGCACCTGCTACTGTATTAGCAGCTGCACCTGCTACTGTATTAGCAGCTGCACCTGCTACTGTATTAGCAGCTGTACCTGCTACTGTATTAGCAGCCGCACCTGCTACTGTATTAGCAGCCGCACCTGCTACTGTATTAGCAGCTGCACCTGCTACTGTATTAGCAGCTGCACCTGCTACTGTATTAGCAGCTGCACCTGCTACTGTATTAGCAGCAAAACAACAAACTGCATGCATGCAGTTTCTCAGTGACTTTAAAACATCACCTCCACCATAAAACTTTTTCTGATGCTCCAAATACAGAAAAACATCCCTTACCAGGGTTTTTAGAATAAATAGTTTAAATGTTAAATAATATTTAACATCACTTAAATGCAACAGCAAATTCTCTCATTGCTACTGAGCATTTTCTCCACTTATGTGGTTATGATATAAGGCTGTTGCTGTAATGGGAAGTGAACTGTGCTGGGCCAAACTAGGAGAATATTAAGATTTTCTGAGGGAAAGAGAAAAACAATTGTCTACCTTTCAGAAGAGGAACTGGCAAAAAAACTACATGGAAAAAATGTGAAAATGTTTGTTTTTAACCCCAAATTGAACAAGTTTACCTAGATCTTAAAAAGCAGCTCAGATGATGAAACTGCAACTATGATTCTGGTAACAAGCTAACAAATTGAACTAAGAACTAAGCTAGCAGAGCTTCTAACTGACAGTTTATGTGCAGCAGCAAATCAACTATCCTTATTAACGAGGTTATAAAAGCTCATAAATGAAAAATCACTTTGATGTGTGGGGGAACTTTTCCAGGCCCTCTTTAGCAGGGTGGGACTGGGAGGCGAGTGCTGTAGCTTTTTAGCTGGAAGCTAACCGGAGCCTGGGGCTAACATCACCACCCGGTGGAACACTAGGGGCATGAAGGTGGGTTGGTTCACCGGCACGTGTCGGAGTCAGCCCGGTTATTATCAGCTGCTTAACGACACCGAGCGGACTCACGTTCACGTTTGAAAGCAGCGCTGATTCCAGAAACATCAGCACAAAGTGTGTTCGTTGCTCTGAGCCAGCATGACGAACAAGGGAACGGCGCGCCGCTAACTCTGTTCGGGTGTTGCTTTCCAAAAGGGTCTATGCAGGGGGCGGGCATATTACGTGAACAGACCCATCTGATTGGCCGCATATCAGAAGGGCTACATTTGATTGGTCAAATAATACTTCCGCGTAAAAAACAGAGCTGGTTTACAAAAAGTTGATGTATGACACGGATGGAAATGTTGAACCAAACATTTATCGCCATTTTGGCGTGCTTTGTGATGGGCCAATCGCACGTCCTGTTATCGCGATGACGATAATTTTTCGATATATCGTACAGACCTAATCTACAGGATGGCTTGGCAGGCTAGAGTTGGCCTTTTGTTTGCAGAAAATCGTGAATTGAACCGAAATCACAATTTCTGCTGGAAAAATTGCGATTCAGTTTTTTCTAAAATCGTTCAGCCCTACTCTAGTGAACCAGTATAAAGTAACAGTAATCTGTGCTTCTCTTCTGGACGTGTGAAACCAGCTGGCTGTGCATAAGAAACCAAAGAAACTCCCAAAATGACCTACCAAGGCTTTATGACATTTCCGCTGTTGTCTGACCAACTTGGCCAGCTTGTTTACCAGCAGGTCGGGCTCTTCTGCTCCTATTTAGCTTGGCGTCTCTGTTTGTGCAGACGGCTCCTCTTCTGCCCAGGTGGACATCATCACCGAGCAGCCGCGCTCCTCCCAGCATGCTCTGCAGCCGGGCGACTCGGTGGACCTCAGCGCCTCCTCAGAGCAGGGTGGTGGAGGAGGGACATCTGCTTCGAACACCCCCGACTCGCCCAACGAGGAGGAGATGCTGAGTGGAAGCTCCAGCGGGGCCAACGTGACCCCAGAGACGGCCGACTACACCACTCCAGAAAACGCCACCCCGGAGGGAGGGCCTCTAGGAGAGGGCGGAGCGTTGCTCGGGACCAACGATCGCTCCCTTCCACCCAGTGATTCCTCTCAGACCACCACAGAAGGACCAGACTCAGCGGTGACTCCTTCAGACGTAGCAGAACTGGTCAGTGAAACCGTTATTAACAGTACGTGTAGAAAACTGGGGCGGATTATTGGCCCATCAGCGATTGGCCAAGCCCTTTGCCAATATTCTCACGGATGGAACATTTCAAACATCCACATCAAATCAGAATATTTTTAAAACACTAGTTCTGTGTATATAAACATGTTAGACATGACTTGAAAGCTCTGGTTCTGGTGGTTCTGACCATATCCGCCGATCAAGGATTCAACCATAACTGTTGACGCAGTGAGAACTTTAGTCTCAGAAAGTCAAAGTAGGGCTGTAGCGAAGCCTCGATGACGTCGACGGCTCGATTCTAAAAATTTGTCGACGTCAGATCCGGTAGTCGACGCGCCACGCCCACTTCTTGCATCCCCAGGAGTTTGTAAATAGAGGAGGAATCTGCCTGTTTTTCCTCTAGTTCGCCCTCTTCTCCGCCTTCACTAACATCTCCACCAAATACCGAAGACCCGGAACAATGTCCGTCCGCTACTAGATTCCTTTCCTGTTATGCCCGCCTTCGTCTCCCGGCAACAGACAACAACTTCCGGGGTCAGATGCGCTGCTCCGTCTCTACCGCAGATGTAGAAAATCACCGGGAGCGTTTCTCCCTTCATAAAGGAGCTTCTTTCAGACATGAGGAGAGCTGTTTTGGTGGTAGCAGTCTCTCCTCCGTGCTGGTCTGTTTGCTGCTGGGTGTTTTTGGTTTATTTAAACTTGGTAACTTGAACTTAATGTTGGTAAAGCTACTGTTAGCATTTTCGCTAACAGCTTCTTGCATTTGGATAAGCTGCTATGTTTTGGTTTACAGTTAATCTTTTCTGTGGTGTAGATCTCCCTTTTATTACATTTAGAGTGTTGTGGGTTTTCGGTTTAGTTTAAAATATCACCTTGAGTTTGGTTTAACCGCCCAGTTTAGAGTTTGGACCTTTGGAGATCCTTATTTCGGTCCAGAACCCTCTCATCTTAGCCCAGTGGGACATCCCTACTTATTTGCACTTTTGTTTTAATTCCCCACAGGCAGAATTAGTCTTATTATTCCCAACCTGTGGATGGAAAGATTTTTTTTTTGTTGTAGTTGTAAATAAACCTGATCATCATTTTAACTTTTAAATCCCACATTATTGTCCCTTCCTTTTTGCACACGAGCCAAACTCCCCAGGAAGGGTCGTAACACCACTCTCCTCACGCACATAAGTGACCCAAACAAAGCAGCATGGAGACACTCCATCTCCAACCACCTCTCAGGCAGCAGCCTGCACTCCCAAGTTCTACACGTCACCAGAACATAACCAACCTCAACACAATAAAAGCAGTGTTATACAAAATGGAAGGCCTGTAGTGTTTATTCTCTTACAGTAACAACTTATCAATTTTTTAGAGGAATTTATTAGATTTTCTGGTTTTAACTGTGAAATAGAAAAATAATTATTAGATTAATTGTCTAAATAGTCATTAGAATAGTCGACTATTTGATAAAATAATCGTTTACCCCCAGCCCTAAGTCAAAGCAATGTCTGACACACCGTTGGAAGTCTCAGATTATTATTATAGAGGCATCGCCAACAGGAACGGGCTTTTTAGACAGCATTCGCTCACGTATGGATGTCAGTGACCGAGCGTGTTTGAGGACGTACCTACTCCGATGCGGAGCTGGGAACGTCTTTAAAATATAAACGTGTATACGAATAAATAGCATAACATGAGGATAATCGCGTGTGTTATCTGCGTTGGGCGGTAAGAGGTGTGTGTTCACGAACGAGAGCCGTCGCTTCCAGAAGTAGGGAGACGGGCGTAAGGTGCAATGCTTTTTTCAGCCTCTAGATGGCGCCCTCTGAGAAAAAAAACTGATTCTGTTTCAGAGTCAGAATCTGTGAAAGTTACCTTAAAGTTCCTCTTTCATGGCTTCCCACATGTTTCACTTTGTAAAAGTCAGACTTTTAACGGAGTTCCTCTAAAAAATCCATCCCGTCTGAAATGATGGGAAGCTGCTCTACTTTTGCTAATAGCGCTAAAGCTAAACGATAGGATGAACTTTCTCCTTCTGTAAGGTAAAACGAGCTACTGGAATTAATTCTGTTTTTAGTTTTAAAGATTGATGTGTTAGTTTAACTCTCGAGTGTTTGGTTCTGGGGACTTTTGAGCCTTTTCTTTTGGCCCAATCCTGGTCCCGGAGGGCTGGTTTCCAGCAGGTTTAGTGGTTCCTGTGCTCCAGCACACATGTGCAACAGCTCATCAGGCTCTGCAGAAGCCTGTTAATCTCCTGCTGATTGACACCAGGTGTGTTGAAGCAGGATTAAAACTAAAACCTGCCTGGATACCGGCCCTCCAGGACCAGGATTGGCTTATGCTGCACGTTAAGATTTAACGAGCGGATGATCCGATGTAATTATTACTGAGGCGTAATGAGGGTTACCCAAAGTCTGTCATCGTTCAGCTGTAATTACCTCCCACAGCTTATCTGTCCAGTCTAACTGTTCTCATTATGGTTCTGCCCCCTCCCCCCACCCCTTCATCACAATCACAGCAGGTGATTCAGCCGCCCCCACCCTCACCAACCTCCACAGAGGGTCCCGATGCCACAGACAGCGACTCGTCTGTCCACACTGCTTCTTTCTCCTCGTCTTCTTTCTCTTTCTCCTCCTCCTCCTCCTTCTATGCCACTTCCTCCTCTAGCACTAGTGACAAGGTCAGCCAATCGGACACTTTGAGCAGAATGGGAGGGGCTTGTGTGTCCTGGGAGTGTTATGGCTTTCGTTCCTTCTCCTTCCGTTGCCTTGTCTGTCTGAACCCGTGCACTCTTGTTTCCTTGGTTATGACTTTGCTCCCTTCTTGTTGTCATAGATCAGGGTTGTTCCATCCTGGTCCTCCATGGCCGCCACCCTCATGTTTCCTGTGTTTTCCTGCTCCAACACACCTGGTTTGAGTCGATGGGTGATCAGCGGGCCTCTGAGGACTATCAGTCATTATATCAGGTGTCTTGGAGCAGGGAAACAGCTAAAACATGCAGGGTGATGGGCTTGCAGCACCCGATCTGGACAGCCCTGGTAAGGATGACGAATATTTTGAGTGATTTTATTTAATTTTTTTTTCCACCAATCGGATGCTTTTTAAGACGGAAACCACCAATCCCAACCTCCTCTATGACTGGCTTACCATAACAGCATAAAGGCTTGCTGTTGCTTGTTTGTTTTGTAGGTAACCAGGGTCTTTGTGGCCGAAACCAAACCTGTAACACATATCTAGGGTTGTCACGGTAACCGGTGTAGCGGTAAACCCCGGTAAAACAGTTCACAATAATAATAACTGTCTTGTTTTAAAAAAAATATTATCTTGGTGGATTACCGTGGCTGCGGTGTAGGCGCAGTGACCCTTACCAGCCACCGTATCATCTGCTGAAGTTGCCGGCGGCACATGCGCACTTTGTTGTTTACAACCAAAACTTTCTTGAAGCTAAAGCTGAAATAATGGCCAAAGGAGGAGACGGCAGCGCTCAGGACATTTATTATCCCTCAAAGAAGACAGAGTGGGAAGTACGGGCATCTTTTGGATATTTGAAGAATGCCGAGGGACAGCTGATAGAAGACGGCTATCCTGTTTGCAGCACGTGCAGAAAAAGTGTCTGTGAAAGGCAGCAACGCTTCAAATCTCATGACACATCTGCGTGACCATCACCCACAACTCTACAGTCAACGCAAGGCAAGTTAACGTTAGCATTTTAGCTAAAATGCGTGATCCGAGGATTTGGGTTGAGGGAGAACGCAACGAGTCGCTATATAAAGCAGCCGCAGCGCCGCTACCTGCATATAAACCGTGTCGCGGACACCGCCATGTTGAAATGACGCTATGCATTACGGGGCTCCCAGGGGCAGATAAGAGTTGGTCTCTCTCCGAGAATAATTATGAATTTATGACATTTTCCCAGATCTGCAAAGATCACTGGAAGGACACAAACCGAGGACGATATTTTCCTGATATAGGGTTTATTACTCAAGTAAGGGTAAAAAAGTATCTGATTAGAAGGCTACTTGAGTACTGAGTATCATCTGGTCGAAAATTTTTAAAATGATGACATCAAACAGACATAAAATAAGAAGCTATGGGCAAATATTGGTATTTTAAAGACTAAAGGGAAAAAATATAAACAAATAAACAACATAATTACAAAATAACACATTTTAGGCAAAATTTTGACACAAACTGAGTACAATATTTTCCTGATATACAGGGTTTCTTTAGTTGTCTGAAAATGTAACACGTTTAAAAAAATACTGCAATAATACCGAAAACCGTGATAATTTTGGTCACAATAACCGTGAGGTTACATTTTCACACCGTGACAACCCTACACATATCTGAGTTATTCAGGTAGTTTTAGCGATTTCTCCAGGCACGTTTCAGTGAGAGGGTGTTTAGAGTACGAAGTGTTGTGATGGAAATGCGTTTCCGTTGGAATGAGTCCGAGCCGAGTCCTCCTCCGTGAGTGGAGTGCTAAATATTTGGCTCCTTCTGTTTCCCGTTGAGTTGTATTGATCCCAGCATGACTCCATGTTCCTTTTCTACCACCAGAGTTTCTCTTTGATTTACAGTTTCAGGTATTTCTTGTTTTTATTTCCTCTCGAGCAAGTCCAGCTGACTTTTACGTCAGGTTTGCATGTGGTTACGTCATCGCGTTTGGTTAATATGTAAAGTTCGCTTTCCGTCTCTTATGGAGGTTTTTTTTTTGTGTGTAACCAAGGTTCTCGATGGCAGTGAGAGTCAGTACTCCGGGATGCAGATAGGAACACTCCAGGATGAAGAAGACGAAGGAGCGCCATCTTCCTCCCAAGAAGAACCCTCAGAACCTTTTTTGCAGTCAGCACTCGGTATGTGTGTGTATGAAAATGATTGTGGGTTCCTGAAAATGTTAAAAGTTATCTTTTTGTGCGTTTTTGTGCCGTCTACAGCTCTGAGCAAGCCTCATCTGTTCGAAGGCCGAGGTCACAATCGACAGGGTTCCGACAGCAGCGTGGACCGCTTCACACCAAAGGATGAACCCGCAGAACCCGAGCCTGATAACAAGGTGAACTCGTCCACTCATAAAACCTCCACCAAAAATACGAGTTTGATCCAAAACAAAACGAGTAAAAGCTGAGAACAGCAGGTTCTGATGATGATTCTTTCCTGGTTCTTTGTCAGCCGTCGCGGATAAAAGGTCTGATTGGACACTACACGGATCAGCAGGCGGAGCCACTGGTGCACTGCGTTCGACTTCTTGCTGCTTCTTTTCTTCTGTCAGGGCAAAAGAATGGTTAGTATCTGTTAAAGAAGGTGTTCACTGAGACGCCATCTTTTAATGATCATTTCTGATTCTAACGGGTCACTCTTGAGTGTTTCATGCAGTCTGAACATGAGAATAGTCTCCTACACGTACCTCCTGCAGTAGCTTCTGGTATAAAACAGACGGTGAAACTCTATGATTAGAAAATCCTGACAGATCTATGTCACTCTGTCACTAACATTCATGGACTTACCCATCTTTACTCACTACGGGGAAGGTTGTTGTTGGTTTAGTGTCCTGGAAACAGCAGAGAACGTCTCAGCTAGTAGAAGCTAACTGTTAGCATTAGCATCTCCATCACACAGTAGAACTCCTCCAGGCTAGTGTTCTTTGTGGAGATAAAACATCAACGTTGCAGAGCAACCAGAGTCAGTGGTAGAGTCGTGTTGCTGTTAGCCAATCAGAGGAGAGACGGCCACATATCAGGAAGTAAGACTCCAAATCCTGTCGTCTGAACCTCAACTCTGATATGACTCACTTCTAGCTCCTGAAACGGGCGCACCTGAGATTTGTTTCTACCAGAGAACGACTGACAGGCATTCCTGCTAGAGACCAACGCAAATTTATCGATTAAACGAGTGATCCGCTGATCGCTCATCTGTTGCCTGTCAATCAAGAGGACACGCCCCAAAGTATTCCTGATAATTCACCCCCTCAGCGTTGTCATAACTTGACCTCATAAAGCTGCTGTAGCAAATTTGGAAAACAAATTAGCTTAAAACGTTTTTAATGCCTCTTAACAATGCTCTTATATAGTATAGCTATAAATATATTGTGGAGATAAAAATTTTTAAATTTAATCATACATTGAAAACAGTTAAAGCTATTAATATTTTCTCCCATTGTCTTATTTTTGTGTTTGTGAAGCAACTTGTTTTTATCTGGAGGAGCTTTATAAAAACATGTTCTACTCCAAAAATGCATGGAGGAGATCTGTAGGTAGAAATAGCTTTTAAATTTATTGAATAAAAAAAATCCACACAGTTTTCCAGCATTACCGCAGCAGGCTGAAGCTGTCTGATAGTTTTTCCGCACTGAAACGTCAGCTCCGTGAGAGAGACGCACACATTCTGACACCTTAGCCTGTCTGAACTAACGTGTGCCGTCAGAAACATTCAAACCATTTGTAAAAGACAAGTTGGGCTTTTAAGTTAACTAAAGTGTGCGACTCCGCACTCGCGCTGATGAAGCAAAAACCAAGCTTTAGAAATCAGCCTGAACCTGCTCTGATGTGGGAGGAGTCTCTCTCTCTCTCTCTCTCTCTCTCTCTCTCTCTCTCTCTCTCTCTCTCTCTCTCTCTCTCTCTCTCTCTGTCTCTCTGTCTCTCTGTCTCTCTCTACATGTGTGTGTATATATATATATATATATATATATATATATATATATAAAAATATATATAATCGGCTCTAGCAGCGCTGTGTGTGGGAACATGAAACAGGGAAAATAACCTGAACATGCAGCTCTGGCAGCTGTGGAGTTGGTCTCGGCTCTGGACTGTACGCCCCACCCCCCTCCCCCGCGCTGGCTTTTGCCGCCGCCGTAACACCGGGGAAAACCGCGGATGTAAAACAAAGTTACACAACTGATCCTGTATCAGTCAAAACCGCTAAAACTGCAGCTTTGACGGTCACGTGATCGTGCTGTTTGAAATTGCAGTTTCAGTTAAAAAATGTTGGATCTTTCAGCCCGACAAACTACCAGAGTCCCAAAAAGAAAATCACCATTTGAAGTCACGGACGACAAGACTGTTGGACCTAGAAAACGGTGACGGGTGTTTAGCGCTATCTCGTTATTCTGGCATCGTGGGTTTCTGGTTCTGGTGGACACAGAACAAGGGAAGATACTTGGATGTCATGGGAGCCAATGGGAATGTGCTTCTTTCTCTAGCCAGCCCCTAGTTGATGAGGGGGGAACTGCAATGTTAGTCGCTGGCTTGTTGGTCTCACTTGACTGCAGGTGGAGTTTGCCCCTTCATACAGATTATAAACATTTGTTTCATCACATTCATGTTTTTTCTTCACATGGTAACACAAAGGTAACTCCCTCATGTCGGAGCTGAAGGGTGAAGGGTTTTCAGTGCGTTTCAAGTTCAAAGTCACTTTTTCAGGATTGCCTTCCCTCCGTGACACTTAACATGAAAATCCAGCACCGGGTTTATTTTTCTTGATTTAGTTTTTATTTATTCCGTAGCTCACTTTTAACACCTCGTACCATCTTGTAGTTTTTTTGGTTTTATTTTCCATTTCAAATGGTTTTTATCATTCGTTGCATTATTTTTATTCTTGATAGTGCCGTTAACGGTTCTCTTATTCCATTGTTTTTATTAGGGATTTTCATCCTTGATTATTTATGCTATGTTTTTATGTATTTGACCTGATTTTCATGCTTTCATTGTGTTTTGTTGATTTGTTCAAGCATTTGGCTCTTTTATGTACAGCACTTTGGTTAGCTACCATGCTATTTTGAAATGGTGCCTTATAAAAAAAATTGTTATGGTATGTTTCTGTTTGTGCAATAATTTGTTTGCTCAGGTTTGATCCCTGACAAAGAGGTGCGAGTGAGTGTGAAGGCGTTGGCTGTCAGCTGTGTCGGCGCAGCAGCAGCGCTGCATCCCGAAGCCTTCTTTAACCCCCTCTACCTGGAGCCGCTGGATGGCGTTCCAGTAGAAGGTAGGACAAAATAAAATAACACAGTGAAGCTCTTTAAACTGAGTGTTGCAGTTGTTGGTGTTGTTAAAATGCGTTTATAATAATCTTTCTGTGTTTTATGGCTCTCATTGATGATAGAGTAGATGATCCTGGAAAAAGCCATGCAGACAAACTACTTTCAATTCAATTCAAGTTTATTTATAGAGCGCCAAATCACGACGAGTCGTCTCAAGGCACTTCACGTAATAAACATTCCAATACAGGTCAGTTCATTAAGCCAGTCAGAAAAAAGTTTCCTATATAAGGAACCCAGCAAATTGCATCTAGTCACTGACTATAAAGCACACGACTATTTTTCCAGGATAGGTAGGCCTCCTCATGGTGCGTAGAGCGCCATGTTCTCTCCAATTTTCTAGAGTTTTGTTTTAGAGCTTGTAAATGAGAATTAAACCAGGGAGCCAACTTCCTGTCCCTAATTACCTTCTTTTTTAAAGGGGCAACATCATCTAATGCCACACGTAAAGAGGAAGTAACATTATGAACTAAGGCATCAATTTGTGAGGAGCTAGTAATGAAAATGTTGCCCTCTGCTACGTTCCTCTGAGATGCTGAGGACAGTAAAGATGGAACAGTTGATTTAAAAGATGCAACTGCGTTGTCAGATAGAGACCGACTATAGTGAAATTTACTTTCATGTCTCGAGAACTCAGTTATAAAAAACTCAAAGGTTATCAGAAAGTGGTCTGAGAGGACTGGATTATGTGGAAAGATCGTTATTTCCTCACACTCTATGCCATAAGTCAGCACAAGGTCCAATGTATGATGGCAGGAGTGGGTGGAGCTATGTATTCTTTGGGTAAAACCAATTGAGTCTAAGATATTACTAAAGGTTACATTGAGGCTATCATTTTCAATGTCCACATGAATATTAAAATCCCCCACTATAATGACCTTATCAGTATTTAGCACCAAATCTGATAAAAAATCAGAGATATGATCCAAAAACTCAGAGTAAGGGCCTGGTGGACGATATAAAACTACAAACAAGAGCGGTTTTACAGTTTTATAATCTGGATTAGGAAAACTAAGAATAAGATGTTCAAAAGAACTGTAGCTATTAATTGGTAAGGGATTGATTAATAGGTCTGAATGAAAAATGGTTGCTTTTACTTTTACACCTGATGATGTTTTTTCTGCTCAGCATTCGTCTCTTAAAACCCAGACATGATGTCGTCCTAAAGCTGGACAACATCCATCAACACGTAGTTGCTGATGTGAAATCCCACCTTTGAGCTCGAGCTGTAAACCCTTTTGTTGAATAATAATGTAGTTACAGCTGTTGTGGTCAGATCTAAAAGACTGTCATACATTGCAAGGCCTTGCACCTGGTTTGTGTTGAGAATGAGGGTGTTTCTCAATGTCAAGGCACCTGGCCTTGCAAGGTGATGTCTTGCGAGGCCAGGTGCCTTGCTTACGAGGACCTTGGTCAAAGAAAACGGTTAAATGGAACAGACTTGCATCATGTGACCACGGCTTCCACGGCGGTCACGTATCGTCACGTGACACGGAAGATAACGTTATATTTCATCTCTATTAGTTGCAATATAAATATATAACGAGCCTTTGAATTTTTAAATTGTGTATATGTTAATTAAATTAAAAATATAAGCGAGTTACTACCCGCTAGCCACCGAAGCTGCAACTACCAAGCAACTAACAACCATAGATAACTCTTAGGATCTAAAAATTTTTAAATTAGTTGACTTACTTTTAAACTTGAAAATTGTCCCCGAAGTAGCTGCCGGCTTCTGATCCACTGTCTTTTTTCAAAATACAGCGGTGTATTGTGGGTAATTTTTGACCAAGGCTAGGCTACAAGACCCCTCCCTGTGTCCTCGCTCAGCTAGCTAAACGGCTAACAAACGGAGAACACACGCCTCGGTAGAACACGAACATTGGAGCATGCCTTGGCGGCTCCCGATGACGTATCTCCTAGGCAACCGGGGCGGGGCCAAGACATCACGGCGAGGTTCCTCGGCATTGAGAAACACTCTGACTCTGCTAGCAGCGTGAAACGGAGGTCTGGTGGCCATCTTGAATCGAGTTGACTCGGTGTTTCCTCGAAGTGAATCTGGTGAAAACTTCCTAAGATATTTAGCAAACAGACATGCCACGTTCCAGTGTGGTATTTAAAGCATCATTAATCCGTTTACAGTCACAATATTTACAAACTGCATATTTGCTAAAATATCTCCTATTTTGGGTGATTCCTGCAGTGGACCGTGACCTGCTGTGTTTTATGCTGCATCCCTTTGCAGAGCGACAGTACGTCAGCGACGTTCTCTGCCTCATCACCCACGGGGACCCCCAGATCAGAGGAGCCACAGCCATCCTCTGCGGAGCCATCATACAAGCTGCGCTAACCAAAACACGCTACAACATTCACACCTGGCTGGCCAGTGTGCAGCGTGCAACAGGTTAGCGTCTGCTTTTTCTGCTGCTGGCATTCTAAACCTTATAAAAGTGGCTCATCAGGTCTGCCTGCTTTTTAGGTAACCCTTTGTCCCTGGTGGACTTGGTGCCTTTGCTCCAGAAAACTCTTAAAGATGATTCCTCTGTCACCTGTAAGATGGCTTGTTCTGCAGTCAGGGTGAGGTGGACCCGTGTGCTTTTTGGGTCTCGGGGCTCTAGCTGCAGTTGTGAGTCTGACTTTTTTTACTGCTTGTGGGTGTTGCAGCACTGCATCATGACCCTCTGCAGCAGCACCCTGAGTGAACTCGGCCTGCAGCTGGTGATCGACCTCTTTGCTCTGTGGGACTCTTCCTACTGGCTCGTTCGCACCGAGCTCCTGGAAACGTTGGCTGAGTTAGACTTCAGGTAAAACAAACTCGAATACCCAAATCCAACATCTCAAACACTGACGAGACTCCAGATATTCTGTGTGTCTGGAGGATTTCCACATGTTAAAGTTCCTGATTTTTCTTTAGATTAGTCGGTTTCCTGGAGAGGAAAACAGAAACTTTACACAGAGGAGCTCATCACTACACTAAGGTAGGTTCAGACCTGTTTTCGTCCGTGTTTCTGTTATTAGTCCGGAGCTTTATTGTTCTGGGTTGGTTGATGTTCTTCTAGTGGCTGCTGCTGCAGGACAGAGTTCTGAATGACGTGGTCATACGTCTGCTGGGAGATGACGACCCAAGAGTCCGGCACGTGGCGGCGTCTGCTGTCAGCAGGTGTGTGACGGACTTGTGTTGATGCATCAACTGCAGTACCTAGATCTGACCACAGAAGGTCATTCTTCCTTCATGCTGCTTTAAGCTAGTTTTATTTCCTTGTTTTAAATCAGGGGTCGGCCGCGGCTCTTTCATCCATCTGATGCGGCTCCCTTCTCGTAAAATAATGAATGAATATTGAATATTATTCATTTTTTATCTGTATGCCAATTCTAAATTTAAAGATTGTCAGCGTAAACCGGAACAGGTCCAACAGCTGACAGGTCACCTGCAAATGTCTCTATAGGGGCTTTCTGAGTTGAGAAGGATGTGAGATTCTGGACTTTTGCCTCAGACAGGCTCATGAATGCATCGCTGCGTCGCCACATTGGAGACAGGAACAAGCGCTATTCAGCCAAAGTTTCATAATAGAGTACATTTTCTAAGAGACGAGTCTCTCTAGCCTTTTTCAGATAGACATTCTGGAACATTTGTGGACAATTCAATCCGGTTTTTAACCGGAACTGTGTTTTCAGACACACCACTTTTGTACCGGAACTTGTCCTTTCGGCTGCGTTCACACAGCAGGGAAAAGTTCCAGATGTCTGACGGCGGCGGGGGGTGGGGTAGGGGCGGAGAATCTGACTTATGTTTAGAAGAAAAAGAAGAAGAAAATATTTCTATAGCACCTCTCCAGATAAAAATCACGAGGCGCTTAAGCATAATTCTGCGCACACGAAGACGCATAAGAGACCTGGATGATGAAGCTCAATGGTTAAAGGAATCACTGAAGTGGTGTGAAGCGCTCCGTCGCGCGTCTAGGCAGTACCGTAGGAGGTAAGCTGCCGTGGTTCGTCGCATGCTACAGCAGCGAGCTATCTAGGTGCGCACAGCGTCCCCCGTTCCCCTCCTCCTTCCCCTCCCCCTTGTCCGGAACTTTACCTCACCAGTCTGAAGCAGCCACCCTGTCTGTAACAAGTCCGGACCTGTTACTAGGGGTTTCGTCCGGTAAAATTCCGGAACACCTTATCCGGATGTTTGTATTCAGACACAGAGGTCTTACGGACAGAGTCCGGAACATTTCCGTTTTTCATGGCCTGTCTGAAGGGGGCTTCTGAGAGACACGGTTTGGGAAACACTCGCTTCAGTGAGAGGAATCTTCCTGCATGCGCACCGGTTCTGCAACGCGCTCCAAACCCCCGATCTACACATCAGCTGAATAAATCTTCAGCTCGCTGTCCACCTTACGCATGCGCTGAGCTCAGTGTCCAGCTCTGATGGGAACCTTTTCTTGATTGACATAACTACTAGGGATGAGCCGGATACTGGTGTCAGACGAGTATCCGGTACGGATAAAATATTTTTGACGAGTACGAGCATGAAACGAGTAAAACTCGTAAATATCTGTAATCGTGCTGAAGGAAAATCCTCATTGGGTAACTGACTGAGTTCCCGCTCTGTGATTGGCCAGTCAAATAGAGTGCCCGCCCCTCCCTACACACAAAACTGCAGTGGGAGCTCACAGCTCAGTCCGCGTCCGGTCCATCCACGCACGCGCACACACACACACACACAGACCGTAACGGATCTCTCTGTGCTTGCTTCACTGTTCACGTTTCTTCAATACTCCCTACGTTTTCTTCAGTTTGCTTCTTTTTAAAGTTACTTTAAAGTTACTTAAAGCTGCTTTTTCCGTAACGTACGTGGTGCATTTGACGAGACAGAGCTGAAAACAGCTCGTGCTGCGTCAGTCACTGCCTCCGCTCCGGTCGTTTTTTTCCCCTCCCCTCTTCCTCAGGATCAACTCCCTCGTTCCTGTCCACTCTCTCTCTTTCTTTACATATTTTAATCACAATTGTCTTATTTTTTGCTCATTTTAAATATATTTTAATCATTTTCTAAATTCTTTTTTTCTTTTTTACATGTTTTGTTTTTGTGAAGCGCCCCGTGATTTTTATCTTGAGAGGCGCTATAGAAAAGATCTTTTCTTCTCTCTCTCTCTGCACTTAAATATTAATGTTCTGATTTTATTGAAAAACTTGTTCTGTAATAGTTCCTTTACTATTGTGATCAAAAACATTTAATCTCAACTCTGAGGCTGCTCTGTAAATAGTTTTCAAATAAACAATACACATAGCAACTTCTGATCAGACTTAAAATAACGTATTAATGTAAACCACACCCACTTCTGGTTAAACTACACCCACTTCAGGGTTAGGCCACGCCCACTCCGAGTACAGATACAGATAGTGGTGTACTCGCTCATCCCTAAGAGGACAGAATGCGCAGCTAATTAATTAAATAATTTGGTTCTGTACCTTTCTCTTCAGCACAGCCGACAAAGGTTTATGATGGGTCAGTCCTCCTGCATGCTCAGATCATTCCCTTCCCTTGCTTGAAAAATTGTTCCAAAATGAAAGTAGAACCCACATCTTTTTATCTGTGAATTCAATGCCGTTCGGCGAGTCTCAAATAAAAATTTGGGCATCTTACTGTAAAAAATATACCATTAATGTAAAAAGAAACTCTAAATGAACTATGTTCACATCCAGAATCAAACCCGGATCCTCAGCATGAAAGTCCGATGTCTTACTAGGCGAGCTAAAGCGCCAATGACGTCCTTTGTATCTGTAACATTTATATCATTGATGACAGCTGAAACAACGTTCAAAGAACGGTTCGGAGGGCTATGCCTGAGCGTGAGCGCGCATGAAGCAGCCTGCTCGACCCGAGCATCTCTCTTTTTCTGTGATCTTACAGAAAAACAGGCAATCACAGTAAAAATGCCAGGGCTCATTCTACAGGACCAGGGCATTGCAGGAGAATGTATGAAGAAGACATTTATTATTTCTATACATGTTTTGGCTGTCAAACTTCCATAATGCCCCTTTAATGTGGGAAACGGGTAATAACGTCTCTTTGATGGGAAAAGTTTGCCGAGCCCTGTTTTAAATCAACCCGCACTTCTCTCTACTAGACTAGTTCCAAGACTGTTCTTCGACTGTGACCAAGGCCAAGTGGACCCAGTGGTGGCGATTGCTCGGGACCAGAGTTCGGTCTACCTACAGCTGCTGATGCACGAGACTCAACCCCCGTCTCAGTTCACGGTCAGCACCATCACAAGGTGGGCTTTTCCTTCTGTAGCACCCAGAGCTGTCGGCTGTTTCAGCCGGGGGTGCTCTGACGGTTGTCATCACTGCTGTAGCGCTCACCGCGGTGCTTTTTTCTGTTTTGTCCGTGAAAATGAACCCGTTGTTGGATCTTCTGACAGGAACTCGGACCATGTTTTTGCCACCTCAACGCTTTGCTTTACTTTCAGGACGTACCGAGGCTACAACCTTTCTAAAACCGTGTCTGACGTCACTTTGGAAAACAACTTGTCCCGAGTTGTAACGGCCGTCTCGCACGCGTTCACGTCCTCCACCTCTAGAGCACTGACCGTAGGTGTTTCCTGCAGCACCACATTGCTTCACACTGTGTGTTTTTAACGTATTAAAATGCTTTTGCCTCCTCTGAAGTTTGGCTGCTGTGAGGCTCTGTGCCTCCTGGCATCGGCTTTTCCGGTCGGCACCTGGAGCACAGGCTGGCACTGTGGCTACGTTAGCGCTAGCAGCTTCTCGTCTCGTTCCAGTCTGAGCCGCAGCAGAGGCAGGTCCCTCAGGTTTGTGGAACCGCTCTCACTGGTTCCTAATGCCACGGTAGCGCTGTTGTGATTTTCGCTCCTTTGTTTTGATAGTTTGTCCCAGACGAGCAGCGCTCCAGCGTCTTCAGCCGCCACTTCATCAGCTCCAGACGCTGAGCGGAGGACTCTGACCGTAGGAATGGCCAACATGGTGCTGTCCCTTCTGTCTTCTGCCTGGTTCCCTCTGGATCTCTCTGCACATCAAGATGCACTTTTGCTCTGTGGCAACCTGCTGTCTGGTGGGAAGTTTACATAAAAGTGAACCGTCCTTTGGTGCGTTTGTCACTAACCAGCCTCGTAATCGTGTTCCCAGCTGTGGCTCCTCGATGCTTGCGCAACCCCTGGGTCGGAGAGGAGGAAGGCAGTAGTGGGAACGCCAGTGGGGGCCCAAATAAAATGGAGGAACCGTGGCCGGCACTGTCAGAGCGCTCCCTGGTGGTCATGGTGGAGCAGCTGTTCTCTCATCTCCTGAAGGTGCTCAACATCTGTGCTCACGTGTTGGAAGACACGCCGCCAGGACCAGCCGCTAAAGTGAGAAATGTAGTTTCTTTGTTTTTTTCAAAGCGGCGGCGCACTCGGGCCTTCATTGCTGCCTTTTATTAACCTCTGAGTACAGTTTACAGCTGCATGAGTCTGTTGTTTTTCTCCTTTTGTGTTTTAGGCGGCTCTTCCCTCCCTGAGCAACACGCCCTCCCTCAGTCCGATCAGGAGAAAAGGCAAGGAGAAGGAGGCTGCAGAGCCCAGCACGACTCCTCTGAGCCCCAAAAAGAGCAGCGAGGTCAACGCGGGTGAGTTACTCCAGACCGTGCTCAAACATGGATGTGCAGTCGCCTCTGAACCAATGAGTGATCTGGTTCCCATGGAAACCCTGTAGTTTTCATCGGTAACTTTCACACGAACCCTAGACAAGTGTTCGCCAGAATCAGCTGCGAAACCCTGCCTCTTCTACATTCCAGGGGAATGAGCATTTGTGGCCCCGCCCACATTTGCTTAAGACCGCCCACAGGAATGAGAGCAGAGTGTGCCTCGGCTAGTAGAAGCTTACCAATAGCATTAGCAGTTATTTGTGGAGATAAAACACCAACATTATAGATTCTACCTAAGAAAGTCGCTTTGCTGTTAGCCAGTCAGAGGCAAGATGTTTCCATATCATGGATGGCGGTCCTGATGGTTTCCAAACCGCACTCCTCCGACCAACTTTTGCTTCTTGAAACAAGAGCGCCATAGCTTTGTTTCCACAGAAATCGACTCAAGAAGCATTCATTCATTCATAGAGACCACAGCAGATATACTGAAGAAACGAGTGAACGAGTTTAGGGGTGGGCGATATGGCCTAAAATCTGTATTGCGATATAATCAGAAAAATATGCGGTAACGGTATATATTGTGATACATGACTTTCTTTTGTATATATATATGTCAAAAACGACAGTTTCTAAACATACTCACCAGATACATTGCAGCAGCAGAATAAACACTTCAAACAGTATAAAATGCCATTTTAAGAACATTTATTAATTTTCTTGCTTTACTTGCTCGCGGACTTTCTCGTAGTTTTGGCATCAATGTTTGGCTGAAGCGTTTGCGGCTCGGTACCTCGTAACGTGGATCGAGTGTCTTTATCGTGTCCCGAAAGCCGCTTTTCTTCACTGTAAGAAACGGCACCATGTCCTTACGCAGGTACGTGGTAATGGCGTTTGTAATATCAATCCACCGTTGATTATTTCTCTCATACTGAGTGCCTTTAGCAAATGCTTGTAAAATATCCATCTGCTGGTGTGTAAGACCACCTTTCTTCTTACCGCTCGACTGACTGGGCGTTTGTTGAGGATGCAGCTTTTGGCTTTCTTCGTATTCCACAACGTGCTTCGTTTTGAGGCGGTAAAACAAATGAGATGTATTCCCTCTATTCACTCATACTTTCTTCCAGCATACTTTGCAGATTATATTGTTCTGCTCCACATCCGACTCCGTAAAGCCAAACCAAGTCCAAATAACCGATGTTGCACCGGTCTTCTTTACGAGAACCTCCTCCTCCTCCACCACAGGCTCCATGCTTTCAGTCTCAACAGACGCCGCTTGATGACGTCATCAACATGCGCTACCGCAATAGGCCGATTTGGTCAAAATCTCTACCGTTGGCCAAATTAATATAATTTCTACGTATACCGTTTATACCGCCCACCCCTAAATGAGATGTTTTTTTTTGAGCAGGCAGGCTAACAGACGGCTCGGGGTCCGCAGCAGTGAACAAATCCACCACCCTCGGCAGCTTCTACCACCTGCCTCCCTACCTCAAGCTCTACGATGTCCTCAAAGCCACCCACGCCAACTACAAGGTCAGCGTTCGTAATCCCAGAGTCGCGTCTCGCAGGGAGACGTTTAGGTAACTTCTGCTGCCTCTCAGGTGACGTTGGATCTCCACAGCAGCCAGGAGAAGTTTGGAGGACTCCTGCATGCCGCTCTGGACGTTCTGTCTCAGCTGCTAGAGCTGGCCACACTACACGACATCGGAAAGGTGAAAATCACTCGTTAAAACATTCCTGTTTAATATTCTACCGGATCGAGTAATGAAGGTTGTTCTGCTTGTTGTGGTTGGCAGTGTGTGGAGGAGATTCTGGGCTACCTGAAGTCCTGCTTTTCCAGGGAACCAACCATGGCTACCGTTTGCGTGCAGCAGGTTCGTTGTTTGTGTGCTTTTTACTTTTAAAGTGTGAATTTTCCATATTAATCATGTGTGGTGGTCCATATGGTTGTGGCACTGAGCAGTGTGCAACAGCCGGCACGGCTCCACGCAGAGCGAGGCTGGTTCCTGCCGACAGGGCCTGTAAAGGTGTTGGTTCCCCTGTGCGATGGTTCCACACATTCCTATCTGTCTCGTCTTCACCACGGACATATATACTGGACAATTCGTGTCCATAGGCTCCAATAATAAGTTTTTAAGCCACCACCGCCATTTTGACCGTGTCACGGGTTCCGTCAAGCCCAGACAATTCCATAAAAGGCAAAAGAGGTGGAGCTGAGGGTGGGGCTGTAAGGCTGGGATCAAATGACGACACCCGTCGAACTGAAGCGATGTAGCTACAAGCTAACCCAAAGCTAACGCGGAGGTGGGAGCTAAGCTAACGGAGGTAGCTACCTAGCTACACCCGGAGTTAGCTGTGCACAACACCAGAGCTTCTGAGTCAGAGATACGCCGGGCTGACCGCTGGGTAAAACCGGGTGGAACACAGAGGTCTCCCAGCGGTCCACAAGACAGGCGCCGCTGCTATCAGAGATGCGCCAAGCTGCCGCTGAGGGGAGGGGACTGTAACGATAGTTGGAACCCAGCTCCACCAACATGTTATATTTCAACCCATTTTCTAGAATGCAGCATTATGTTAAATGCACTGGGTTTTACCCTATTACATTTAAATTTCATGGTTAAACAGTACTTGTTAAAATCTAAGCTCAGCTCGGCAGTGACCTAAAATACATAAATATAATTTTACTTACCGAAAAAAATGAAGTGGAGACTCCTTGGACACTCTGTTAGTGCAATTAATGCCACAGCAAGTCATTTTGTCCAACAATTGCACAAATAATATCCAAAAAGAAAGCACAAACGCTACAACTAATGGTCTAAGTTGAGAGACTGAAAATGATGGAACAGTTTTCAGACCGAGGCTCTACTGAGGCCTTTCCACTGAGCTAGCTCTGTGGTCACGTGGGTCTGACGCTCATTAATTATACAGATTTTTAGGCTTTTAATACACTTAAACAGAAGAGTGAGAAAAAAAATTCACCCCCCTCAGAGTTGTCATGAGTGTAAACTAGATTATTTAAACCTAAAACATGTTTTGGTACCAGGCTGTAAACATGTTTATTTCTGCTGTGAAATTGGTATTTTTAACATGGGAATCAATGAGGATTTGCTCGCTTCTGACACCAGCCCCTAGTGGGTGAGGGTGGAACTGCAGTTTTTTTCACTTCCTGTTTGGCTTCATTTCCAGACCTGAATTATGAGGGCTTGGTCTTCACTGCGTTTGTTCGGGTATTTCTGACATATTCTGATAACCTGAGTAAAAGAAAGTTAAAAACCTTTGTGGAGCTTTTCCAGGCTCGGCGTTTGCGTGGCGCTGCTCTAGAAGTGAAAATGTTTTTCTGTTTAGTTGCTGAAGACGCTGTTTGGGACCAACTTGGCCTCCCAGTGTGAAGGAGTCCTGAGCGGACCCAGCCGCTCCCAGGGAAAAGCTCTTCGCCTGGGCTCGTCCAGCCTGCGACCGGGCCTCTACCACTACTGCTTCATGGCGCCGTACACACACTTCACCCAGGCTCTCGCCGACGCCAGTCTCCGTAACATGGTGCAGGCTGAGCAGGAGCAGGATGCTTCTGGGTAAGCAGAAAGATGGAAAAGTGTGTTGAGTAGCATCACAGCTTTATTACTTTTTCCTCTCGCATGTTTAGGTGGTTCGATGTGATGCAGAAGGCCTCCAATCAACTGAGGTCCAACATTGCCAACGCCACGCGTCTACGAGGAGATAAGGTACATTGGGATTGGGAAGCTGCACCTGGGGAGCACAGCTGTCTTGACATCTGTATTCCACCCTCTGCTCTCCCAGAACACCATTCACAACCACATTCGGCTGTTTGAGCCGCTGGTGATCAAAGCTCTGAAGCAGTACACCACCAGCACCTCCGTAGCCCTGCAGAGACAAGTTCTGGACCTTCTGGCCCAGCTGGTGCAGCTCAGAGTCAACTACTGCCTGCTCGACTCAGATCAGGTTAAAATCACTGATCCTAGAACTCACACAGCTCTGCGTGCAGTAATTCTGCTGACTTGGATATTCTTTGTGTTTCAGGTCTTCATAGGGTTTGTCCTAAAGCAGTTTGAGTACATCGAAGTGGGACAGTTCAGGTATTTCTTCTAAACCCTTTAAGACCAACGCTCCCGTTTACATATCTCTGTTCAAATGCTTGTAGAACTGAAACTATATAAGATAGAACAAAAATTTATTTTTTGTATATAAAACCGGAGGAGTTACACTTAAATCTCACACACTGAACGCGACCCAGGGCGCTGCGTATTTCCGCTAATAAGTTTGCAAAAAACAACCAAAATGCGCAAATAAAAGCGTTTTCATTCAGACACAGATGCTGTGTCGCTCCGATCTGCAGCTCACAGGGCTTAACGCGCTAGAATAAACATCATCTTGGTGTCAACATGAACTGTCACATGATTATCACTCAACCAATCACCTGCTTTGATGTCATTTAGCCGCGAAATGTAGTTCTTTGTAGTCCCAGTCTTTCGTTTTTTTCTTGTGCTTTTTCGCAATAATGCAAACACATCCTACACACATCACACACCACTACACACCAATATTCAACATTATTATGTTAGACTCCTGCAAATTATTATTATTTATGTTTTCGTTTTTGTTACACTTTACATAAATGAGTGTATCTCAAACTAAATTATGGAAACACTTCAAATAAATTAGTGGTTGTTTGAAAGGATTGTGTGAAACTTTTTTCCATTGGCAGTTTTGAGGGATAAAGCTGTGGCATTTCTGTATAATGAAAAATGTACAGGAGTTAATTTACATCTAATTAAGGACCCGTAAGACGTAAGATTCCATAGTAAATATGAAATCAATCTTATTTTAACCAGAAGATTGGAACTTTTGATTGCAGGGATTATGTAACACTTGTATTAACTGAGAGACAAGAGAAGAGAGAGTCACCTTTAAAACGTTTAAGAAGATTTCTTTCTACACAATTTTAAACAAGACTAACTCCAAACTCTTAAGTGATGAATGGGTCTGGTGTAATGAGACGTGAGATGAATGGTGTGTGTGCGTGAGATGTTGTCATCAGAACTCTCGTATCCGGAGAAGCAAGTCTGAATGATGTTGTGACGTTTTGCTTTTAGCTATGATCAGAGTTTGATCAGAGTTTCATAAACACACGAGACGCCATATTGTCACTCTACTCATACCCTTGATGAGACCTCCATACAGATCCAGAATGCCAGGTCCTTGGACCCCCCTTTCGGTACTGGAGCCGATGAAACGGCGTCAGCAGTACGACAGACTAGTCTTTGGATTGTCTCCAGGAAAAAAGTGATAGTTGGTTGAAAACGTCAGATGGACCCCCCCCCCCCCCCTGGTTCAGCAAGTTCAGCTTTTATTCTGAAAGGAACCATTGCTTGGTTGGTAAAATGCAACAGATTTTATCCAACTTGTTGGTTCTTTTGCTTAAAGAGGAAGTTCTGGTGGCCGGTCCGATACTCCTCTTAGCATGCGGTGAACTGCGGTGAACTGTAGAGAACTCAGGGAACTGAACTAAGATGGCGTGGGAACTGGTTTTGTTAATCTGGATGTTTTGGTTTCTGTTCGAATCGAAGTTGCAGATTTATAAACACCACAGAGACTATGCCACGCTTCAGAAAGGAAGGTTTTGATTGGATCAGTGAAAGCAATGTGTCCTGCGTTTACATTACGTGTAGTCAGAATGTCTAGTGCAGCTAGATTAAAGTCATATTACTTATTAAAGCATATTAATCATGACATTGTCATTTCACAGAATGGTCAACATTATATTATTGACTAACACTATGTTTTATTAGCTTTATTAAAAATAGAGTTCTTTGATTTATTAAAAGGAAAGAGTCCTTTATCTTCAATCTTCTCTTGAGCTGGAAAGGAAGCAGTTTAGAAGCAAATGCATGACCTTGAGGCAGTCTCATGCAGCTTAGTACTGTGTCAGAGGCATCTGTGGAGAGAGGGTAAATAACCTTCGGTGGAATGGCACCTCCGTCACGCTACAAAAAATATGTGTAAAAACAAAAAACGATTTTTAATTTCTGTATAGATAATTGCATTTTTTAGTCAAATATTGTGTTGCTATGAACATTTTACATTTATGTAATAAAAATTTACAATGTAAGGGTTGTTTTGATGTATAGAAAGTTGAAATACTCAAAAAAAAAAAAAGATGGCACCACAGCATGTAAAAATGTAAATATAAGTTCTGGCGAACTTGTTCTATGGCACGTCTTAAAGGGTTAAACTCTGCAAGGCTGCTGTGATATTAGCATGAATCCACATGCTAACTTAGAGGATTTAAAACTGCGTAAACATCCCGTTTTATCCGTAAACTAAACTTTTGTCCTGTAGAGATTCCGAAGCCGTCATCCCCAGCATATTCTTCTTCCTGGTGCTGCTGTCGTACGAACGCTACCACTCCAAGCAGATTATCAGCATTCCCAAGATCATCCAGCTGTGTGACGGCATCATGGCCAGCGGCAGGAAGGCGGTCACCCACGGTGAGAAGACAGTCATGACGGTTGGGCCCCCTCTCCAGGATGAGCGATGCTGATGACCTTTATTCCTCCACAGCCATCCCGGCCCTGCAGCCCATCGTTTATGACCTGTTTGTGTTGAGGGGCTCGAACAAAGCCGACGCAGGGAAAGAGCTGGAAACGCAGAAGGAAGTGGTGGTCTCCATGCTGCTCCGACTGGTGCAGCACCATCAGGTGTGTCTGCAGTCCACCTCGCGCCAAGCAGACGTTCCTGGTCCTCGGACTCATTTCTTCATGCGTGTTTCTTAAAGGTGTTGGAGATGTTCATCCTCGTCCTGCAGCAGTGTCACAAAGAAAACGAAGACAAGTGGAAGAGGCTGTCCAGGCAGATCGCTGATGTCATACTCCCCATGATTTCTAAGCAGCAGGTTGTTATACGTTTATGTTTGAATCTGGCGTTTATTTCAAATTTTGATCCCTGTTTGTTTCTCCTCAGATGCACCTGGACTCTCCGGAGGCTTTAGGAGTTTTGAACACCTTGTTTGAGACGGTGGCGCCCTCGTCTCTCAGACCTGTAGACATGCTGCTCAAGAGCATGTTCACCGTCCCGGCCACCATGGTGGGACCCGTCTTTTCTTCGGTGAACGTAGTTAGAAATGAACAGAATGGGCCATGAATCAAATGTTCTTCCCTGCAGGCGTCCGTCGCTACAGTCCAGCTGTGGGTGTCTGGTATCCTGGCGGTGCTTCGAGTTTTAGTCTCTCAGTCCACTGAGGACATTGTCCTGTCCAGGGTCCACGAGCTGTCCCTCTCCCCACATCTCCTGTCCTGCATCGCCATCCGCCGCCTGCATCAGCCGAAGCCCTCCCCCAACGACCCGCCTGCTACCGACCCGGTTTCTAACCAGGAGGCTAATGGTGAGGCTCAAAAGGTTCCGCCTGAGGAAACGTTTGCCAGGTGTGTCATCACTACCTTTATTTTCTCTGGAGGTTTCTCCCTTCCAGGAACTGTTCACGATTTTATTTCCTTAGAAATAGGGATGGGTATCTTTGACATTTGAATCGATTCGGTACCAATTCCCGGTACCTAGGAATCGATACCGGTACTTAACGGTACCAATTTTCGATTCTTTTGAGTGTTTAATATTTTAATTCTCTTTTATAATTAAATATATTTTTTTCTCAATATAGAACCATATTTGATAAATATCACGATAAATAACATTCAACTGTTTGTATTTTAACATCATCCTTGTAGTTTTATAAGCTGATAATTAAACTGAAGCAAACATCTTTACTGTGAACTAAATTTACTGTGTATCTTCATTCCTTTTGCCGTCCTTTTTCATTTGATTTTTCCTTCTGGGAAGTTAGAATTTCCGAGGAGAAAGCGAACGCACCATTAGCTGATAACAACGGTGGCAATGGAAGCTAATTTATCAAGCTAACATTATCTTTAACAGTTTATTTAGCTGCTGGAGCAGATTAAAACGATGATGCCTCACACTTAGATCGTTGTCGCTGGTTTCATCTTCACCCAAAATGGGGGGGGGTAGGATACACAGGTTGGAAACTGATTATGCAGTCAAACTCATGAGTGGGCCACCGTAGCTGCAATACCTTCTCTGACCAGCACAGCGCTAAAGAGTTGCATTTTTTCATCCTGATTTCAATGATTTCACACACGGGGCCTTTAACTTGTTAGAAGATTAAAAAAACGGGTTTTGGTTGTGTGTTATCGGCGTTTCAGGAGCTATTAAATGTTTTAAACCTCAGGAGTAACTGTTGTTTTTTTGTTTTGTTTTACTGTAGTTTTTCTCGCCTAATTTCTGCTTTTCCTTTCGCCTGCCTTATCCCTCCAGGTTCCTCCTCCAGCTGGTCGGCGTGCTGCTGGAGGACATCTCCAGCAGGCGTGTTAAAGTGGACATCGGTGAGCAGCAGCACACCTTCTACTGCCAGCAGCTGGGCACGCTGCTCATGTGTCTCATCCACGTCTTCAAAAGCGGTGAGCTCCTGTTGTGTCAGACTAGCTATAAGAAACGTGACTTTGATTTTTAAAGTCATCGGTGCGAAATGTGTTTTTCCTCTCAGGAATGTTTCGCCGCATCACCGCTGCAGCCGGCCGTCTCCTGAAGGGCGAGGGCTCCGGTGGACAGACGAGTGCCGAAGCTGGTCTCTTCTATCAGTTAGAAGGACTCAACAGCATGGTGCAGTCCCTCGTCACCACCCACCCGTCTCTGGTGCTGCTGTGGTGTCAGGTTCTCCTCATAATCAACTACACCAACTACTCGTGGTGGGCTGAAGTTAACCAGACACCCAGGTACCGACTCGGGGTCCAGAGGAAAAGGCTTAGGGTTTTTAATCCTGGGGTGTTTCTCAATGCCGAGGAACCTTGCCTTGATGTCTTGGCCCCGCCCCGGTTGCCTAGGAGATACGTCATTGAGAGCCGCCAAGACGTGTTCCAATGTCCATGTTCTACCGAGGCGTGTGTTTTCAGTTTGTTAGCCGTTTAGCTAGCTGAGCGAGGATACACGGGAGGTGTCTTGTAGCCTAGCCTTGGTCAAAAATTACCCACAATACACCGCAGTATTTTCAAAAAGATGGCGGATCAGAAGCCGGCAGCTACTTCGGGGACAATCTTCAAGTTTAAAAGTGAGTCAACTAATTTAAAATGTTTTTTTAGATCCAAAGAAGTTATCTATGGTTGGTTAGTTGCTTAGTAGTTGCAGCTTCGGTGGCTAGCAGGTAGTAACTCGCTTATATATTTAATTTAATAAACATATACACAACTTAAAAAGTAAAAGGCTCGTTATATATTTATATTGAAACTAATACGTATAAAATATAACGTTATCTCCCGTGTCACGTGACGTTGCGTGACCGCCGTGGAAGCCGTGGTCATGTGATGCTAGTCTGTTCCATTTAACCGTTTTCTTTGACCAAGGAAGGACCGTGTCCTCGTAAGCAAGGCTCCTGGCCTCGCGAGACATCGCCTCGCAAGGCCAGGCGCCTTGACATTGAGAAACACCCCTGGTGTTTCTTATTAATGTTTTAAAAATGGCTGCTTTTGTCTTCTACTTCCTGCCAGGGGACACAGCCTGTCCTCCACAAAGCTGCTGAGTCCTCACTCCTCAGGGGAAGAGGAAGAAGAAAACCCAGAGTCCCAGTTAGCCATGGTCAACCGGGAGATCGTACGCAGAGGAGCCTTAATTCTCTTCTGTGATTACGTGGTGAGACTTACACGTGTGGAGGAGATTCGATTTTCCCGCCAGGATGAAGATGAAGCAACTTTAACATGAAGTCTTTTACTTTTAGTGTCAGAACCTCCACGACTCGGAGCATCTGACCTGGCTGATTGTCAACCACGTCCGTGACCTCATCAGCCTTTCCCACGAGCCCCCTGTCCAGGATTTCATCAGCGCTGTTCACCGAAACTCAGCCGCCAGCGGCCTCTTCATCCAGGCCATCCAGTCCCGCTGCGACAACCTCGCCACGGTATGGCGACTTTTAACTCCTTACCTCCCTGTCGTCCCAGAGTCCTTCACTGATGTGTGTGTGTGTGCAGCCCACCATGTTAAAGAAGACGCTGCAGTGTCTGGAAGGCATCCACCTGAGTCAGTCCGGATCTCTGCTCATGCTCTATGTGGACAAGCTGCTCAGGACTCCCTTCAGGGTTCTAGCTCGCATGGTCGACACGCTGGCGTGTCGCCGAGTCGAGATGCTGCTGGCGGAGACGCTGCAGGTAAGGCTCACCAGGTTGTCTGATGGATTGTGCTAGTGGTCTGGAATGCATCCCACCAGTGAAACTGAAAGTCAGCGTTGATCCTTTAGAACAGCGTCGCCCAGCTTCCTGTGGAGGAGCTGGAAAGAATCCAGGAATATCTCCAGACCAGCGGTTTGGCCCAGAGGTATCCTCCCAGAACGTCGGTTCTGGATCAGAGCGTCTCTGCTGATTATTTTTGTGCTCAAACTCAAAAATGACAGAATATGTTGTCTTCTGCCCATCTCCGCCAGGCATCAGAGGTTCTACTCCCTGCTGGACAGGTTCAGAGCCACTGTGACCGACACCGCTAGCCCCGCCCCTCCAGTTACACCACACCCCTTAGACGGGGAGCCACCCCCCGCCCCGGAAAAGATCGTGGCTGACAAGGTGAGGATTCAGATTCTGGACGGAGCAACAAATCTGCAGAATGAGTTGTGGAGCATCCAGGAAACCGTGATCCTGGGAAAAGAGGAAAACTGCAGCTTTGTATTTTTCACTTTGGAATGAGAACAGTCAAACTGGGCTGCTGTTGTGATTTTATTTAGGAATGGTACGTGGCCCTTGTGAAGTCCCAGTGCTGTCTCCGCGGAGACGTTTGTCTTTTGGAGACAACCGAACTTCTGACCAAACTACCTCCTCCGGACCTCCTGAGCACCATGAGCTGCAAGGTGACGTGGAAACGGGCGGATCGGAACACTTCCTGGTGCTTAGTTTTGTTTGTAATGATTCTTACTGAACGCAGGATTTCAACCCGAGCCTGTTGTGTCCGAGCCTGAGCGTGGGCTTGCAGAGGTTAACGCGGGGTCAGGGGTCACTCCTGTTGGACACGGCCTTGCAGGTGACCCTTGAGCAACTAGCAGAGGTCACGGGGTCACTTCCTGTTCCACACCAGCCTTTCCTGCCACCGCCGGAACCGCAGCCTTACTGGAACCAGCTGGGTGGCGTGTACGGTGAGAGTGAGGAGGCGGAGCAATAAGACTCAAGACGAATGAAGGAAAGAAGAAACGGGAATTTCCTTTTTTATCCTTTTGTTTCCAGATGATCCAAGTTTTTATCCCAAGGTTCTGTCGCTCTGCCGAGCGTTGTCCCAGTACCTGCTGGGCGTCGGCCAGCTGCCGCCATCGTTGCAGATCCCCCCCGATAAGGAGCAGCTCATCACCACGTTCACCTGCACGGCTGCTGAGGTAAACCGGCTGGGGTCGGGCCGCCAGTAGCACACAGTGGTGATTCGCTAATGAGACGGGTTTACGGCTGTGGGCGAGATGGTCCAAAACATTTATCACGATGTTTCTGAGCGTTCTGGTGTGGCGATGAACCGGACGCCGTAACAAGTAACATCATTATTGCTCCAGGACCTGATCACATCCTCTACTTATTCCCAAATTCCACTTTTTCAGCTTTTATTTTTCTAACTTCCACATTTCCACGCTAACTGTTTATTAGCCCGACGGGTGTGATAAAACAGTTGAATCTTAGTCAGAATTCAAAATGTAACAAACTTTCACAAACAGTCGTCCCTCATGAACTCATTCACTGCCAGCGTTTCTCACCGTTTTTACTGTTTTTTTTTTAAGAGTCACAGAACGCGCGCTAGCATGATGTCGATGCCAAAACTACCAAAACAAAGCGGAGACTCACCTCTTACATCAGGAAGAATGCGCGCGTTTCGAGCGTTATCCGTTCTTTCATGATCCGTTGTTGAATTGTGATCGGCAGAGGCTTTTCCGGTTCGCGCCTCACTTTTTTTACAGCAGCGGCCCAAAACGATCTCCTAACACGTGGACGTTCTGCTTCCTGATCACGTGACGTGTGACGTAAGCGGATGAAGATCGGCTTTAGAGCTGAGATGTTTGTTCTCACGGTGTGGGGGCTCGTCCGACGCCCACACAGTAAAAAAAAATCATCATTGGCAGTTGTAGGGTTTGAGAAATTGAGTGCTTTAAGAGCTCTATATATTACCTCTACTTATGACCAATAAGCTGTGGTACTCTATGTAAACATAGAATATCACCCTGCCTGGTCTTTACTGTGTTTTAATCAGAAGATTCTAGGATTCTTTGTTTATTAGGGGATTGTAAACACTTTGTTTTGATTCAGAAAAGTCAGGTTTAATGAAAGTAAGAATTTATTTGACAAACAATTAAAACATGACAGGTTCACTAACATTTACTGTGATGGATGGAACTAGATGTGAACAAGGCTGGAAAAGCCCTCAGGACCAACTTTCTACACTTTTCTCAGACGGGCGTGAGCATTTTCACTTTTCTCTCTCTTTTAAACTCTCTCAGTAGTCCAGCATCACAGAATGAACCCGACGACTGAAACCCGTCTTCAGGCCCAAACATCTGGCCCAGATTCAAACGTTTTCCTTTAAATAATAATGATGGATTCTAGAACTAATTCAATTTTAAAGAGCAAGTCACCCCCTACCTGAGTATTACTCCGCTCCCACTTCCTGTTTGAAAAATGCAACAAATGCTGTTGCCTAGCTGACCGAGAGGGCGGAGCCGCTAACAAATACACACACACACAAGCTCATGACATTGTGACATCATATGGTACCAGCTAGAGCTATAGCGACGCATCGATGACGGCTCGATTCTAAAAATTTGTCGACGTCAGATCCGGTAGTCGACGCTTATCGCCCACTTGTTGCATCCCCAGGAGTTTTTCCTCTAGTTCGCCCTCTTCTCCGCCTTCACTAACATCTCCACCAAATACCGAAGACCCGGAACAATGTCCGTCCGCTACTAGATTCTTTTCTTGTTTTGGCCGCCTTCGTCTCCCGGCAACAGTTTAGAGTTTGGACCTTTGGAGATCCTTATTTTGGTCCAGAACCCTGTAATCTTTGCCCAGTGGGACATCCCTACTTATTTGTACTTTTGTTTTAATTCCCCACAGGTAGAATTAGTTTTATTATTCCCAACCTGTGGATGGAAAGATTTATGTTTTTTTGTAGTTGTAAATAAACCTGATCATCATTTTAACTTTTATATCCCGCGTTATTGTCCCTTCCTTTTTGCACACGAGCCAAACTCCCCAGGAAGGGTCGTAACACCACTCTCCTCACGCACATAAGTGACCAAAACAAAGCAGCATGGAGACACTCCGTCTCCAACCACCTCTCAGGCAGCAGCCTGCACTCCCAAGTTCTACACGTCACCAGAACATAACCAACCAACACAATAAAAGCAGTGTTATACAAAATGGAAGGCCTGTAGTGTTTATTCTCTTACAGTAACCATTTATCAATTTTTTGAGGAATTTATTAGAGACTTTTTTGTTATTAACTGTGCAATAAAAAAATAATCATTAGATTAATTGTCTAAATGGTCATTAGAATAGTCGACTATTCGATAAAATAATCGTTTACCCCCAGCCCTAGTACCAGCTAACGTTCTAGGGTACCTCTTAGCCAATAGCGATGGCAGATTTAAATTCAAATGCAGTGCAGAGTTTTTACCTGACAACGGCACAACACTGACAGTTTTAGGCAGAAAATTTAAATTTTAACTAAAATGCACTAAAGTGCAAAACTATTGACTACACGTGTCTGCAGCACGATTAGACACTCGTTTATATAGTTTTATCAGGAATATAAAGCTGATTTGGGGGTGACTTGCTCTTTAAAGAGCAAGTCAACCCCTACCAGATTCTAACTCCACTCCCACTTCATGTTTGAAAAATGCAACAAATGCTGTTGCCAGGCAGATCTAGAGGGCGGAGCTGCTAACAAATACACACACACAGGCTCACAACAGCATTGTGACATCATAATGTACCAGATGACATCATAGCATACCTCTTAGCCAATAGCGGTGGCAGATTTAAATTAAAATACAGTGCAGAGTTTTTACCTGACAACGGCACAACACTGCCAGTTTTAGGCAGAATATTTAAATTTTAACTAAGATGCACTGAAGTGCCAAATTATTGACGACACGTGTCTGCAGCACGATTAGACACTCGTTTATTTAGTTTATCAGCAAAAAAAAGTTTATTTGGGGGTGACTTGCTCTTTAAAGACCGAACCACAACGTTGGACTCATAAGGAGTTATTAATATTGACTCATGAGTATTTCAGTTCTCTGACCGTGTTTCTTCATCCTGGCATCGCTTGGCTGTAGCGTATCTTTCCACTGAAGGCCTACAGCCAATCGGGGCCATCCATTGATTCCGGTCCTAACGTGTTTGGTAGGTGGTGGCGTGGCAGCTGCTCCAGGACCGGCTGCCCCTGAGTGTGGACCTGCAGTGGGCTCTGTCGTGCTTGTGTCTGGCCCTGCAGCAGCCCTGCGTCTGGAACAAGCTCTCAACCCCCGAGTACACCACCTACACCTGCTCTCTCATCTACTGCCTACACCACATTATCACTGCTGGTAAAGACGGCGGCATTAAGGCTTTTTGGTTATTAGTTACATTTGGCCTTTAAATGTTTTTTCCTCCTGCCTCTCAGTGGCTGTGAGTCCTGGCAACCAGCTGCTGCGTCCAGAGAAGAAGCAGAAACATGGAGATGCTGAAGGAGACCAAGTGGACCTGGGCCATGCCAGCAGTGAGGACTCCTTTAGAAACATGCAAAACTGTTTTCCACTTGATGCTGGTGAAGGTTTTCTTCAGCGGACGTGTGTTTGTTCCAGACGAGTGCGAATGGCGAGCATGTGAGATCATGGCCGAGCTGGTGGAAGGGATGCAGAGCATCCTTTCTCTGGGTCACCCGCGAAACTCTTCGTTTCCCGCTTTCCTCACACCGACGTTGGGCAATATCGTCATCAGCCTGTCCCGCCTACCTCTGGTCAACAGCTACACCAGAGTTCCTCCACTGGTTGGTGTCTAGAGAAGGAGTGAAGCTCCTCTGGTGTGTCGGCGTGTTGGTTCAAACGCTGTGTTCCTGTTTAGGTCTGGAAGCTGGGCTGGTCCCCGCAGCCTGGCGGAGAGTTTGGCACCGCGCTGCCCGAGATCCCTGTGGACTTCCTGCAGGAAAAGGATGTCTTCAGAGAGTTTCTGTACCGCATCAACACGCTGGGTACAGAAACATACACGTCTGTGTCCGTAAGACGGGTTTTTACTGAGGAATGGTCCAGATGATCCTTTTGGTCGCTGTGTTTTTCAGGCTGGAGCAGCAGGACTCAGTTTGAGGAGACCTGGGCCACTCTGCTGGGGGTGCTGGTCACCCAGCCCATCACGATGGAGCAGCAGGAGGAGACGCATCAGGAGGTAAACGCTAATCCACAGAAGGATCAGAGACAGGATGTAAATAGTGTTAAAAGGAGCCTAAGCCACGCCCATCTACTTTAGGACCGTAACTCCCCAAAGAGAACCAGGAAATAACTTTTATAGCCCCGTTCAGGTACCCATGAGCCGACCGGAAGGGGAAGAGCCTCAGGCACCCTACATCACCTGATTGTGTGTGTGTGTGTGTGTGTGTGTGTGTGTGCGTGCATCAGGAGTATTGAGAAGTGGTACGCCCATGTGGAACATTGTTTACAAAAGCTCATTAGCTCGCTTAGAATCCACCTTTTCCAGAACTTACCCCACAGGTTTTGTACCCTTCTGTGATGACGCGCGTTTCACCATCACACGTTGGTGATCTTCTTAGTCCCTACACCCCCAGCAGGTCCCTGAGGTCCAGTGATCAAAGCCTACTGGTTGTGCAGCACCAGGCTAAAGGTCAAAAGTGACAGATCATCTACTGCTGTGGTCCCCAGACTCTGGAACTCTCTCCCCCTGAGCCTGAGATCAGTGGACTCAGTGGTCTCCTTTAAACTCACCTGTTCAGACTTTGGTGGGACCTTCATCACCTCCCTCTCCTTGTTCTGCTCTTATTCCGTCTTCCCCAGGATCCACTGATTTCCCTCTTTCATATAAATTTTCTCTCTCTCTTTCCTTGTGTTTAATTTTTTCTCATTTTAAACATATTTTTAATCATTTTTTTAAATCTATTATTTTTTTTACCTTTTTTTTTGTGAAGCACCTCGTAGCGGTTGCATGACTATTTATTTTAAAGTCGACAGTCAAGTAATGAAAATCGAGTCGACTTTGACTAGTCGTTGATGACGTCGTACAGCTGAAGCGGGTTGGTTCGCTGGAGTTTTTGACAGTTAAAGTTGCGCCCACATTGTCTAAGTTAAACATTTCTTTTAACACAGGGTATCCGCGGGTCCTTAAAAAGTTTTAAAAAGTCTTAAATTTGCTTTTCTAAATTTAAGGCCTTAAAAATCCTTAAAAATGACAAATAATCCTTAAATACAGTTTCCAAAGGTCTTAAATTACCAAAGACCCAATGAATAAGAATTTCTAGTTAGTCTTCAGCATTTTTTGTGTACGATGTTGGCGTAAGCGGAACCGTACACATTCAGTTGGTTGTGAAAGGGGGCTATTTTTAGACGAGCACATTAGCTGGTTAAGCTAGTGGGAGCTTGCGCCATGGGGAAGTGCAAGTTTAATGGTAACTGGGTGGGTAATCCCACGTTCGTGACGTGGTTAGCACCGGTTCCAGGCAATAGCTGGAAATTATAGCTTAAAATTAATTTAAAAAATAGCTTAAATTTGGTCAAAGTGGCCTTAAAAAAGGTCTTAAAAAGTCTTAAATGTGGCTCCCTTAAACCTGCAGATACCATGTAACAACGGTAGTTTCTGCTTCAGCCCTCTCCCCCCTCCCCCTGCACAGCGGCTGCAGGCGCATCACAGCGGCTGCAAACTCACTGATGCGCCTGCAGCCTCTCAGAGTTCCTGCTGCTCTAAACATTAAAATAATTATTTCATTTTCTGTTCCTCACTTCTGATGACCTTCAATGGTGTCTGTTTGTTGCAACCACCAGGTACAAAAACTAACTTGTTTTTATTTGACTATTTTTCTGTCCTGTCTGTTTATTATCTTCCTGCATCTCCTCTCAGTCCTAAAGAAAAACTGCTACCTGGGTTCATATATACTCACCTTATGAGTTACCTTTGAACTGCAGTTCTAAAAGATCTACTGACCGCTAAAACAGCGGAGTGCGCGCCGGTCGCACCGGTGATGTGCGTCACCGGAGGACAAAACAGGTGATGCGCCCCGCTCCACAGCAGCGAAACGCATCAGGCACAAATAAAAGACAGAAAACATAAAAGGAAATGAGCCGACATGAACGATCGCGTGGTAAATTTGTTTTTGAGGTTGCGACACCTGATTTGATAATGTTACTGTGGCCGTGCTCAGGACGCAGATGTCTGGAGCGCGTCAACAATCAGAGCTTTGCATGTGCAAGCTGGTTAAGGTTAGGGTGGTGGTGAGAGGAAGGTTAAATTGCAAGAGGGTAAACGTCACAATTTGGTCAAATGTCCGTGTTACGGCGGGCGTCAGATACCGACGCTCTGGCACAGCGTGTCCCCTCCCGACGCGCAGGGGCTCGCCACCTGCTGTCTTTTCCAGGACTGCATCTTGTCGGTCATTATCACGTGACAGCGACTAGTCGATGACAGGCATAAAAAGTCACTACAGAGCCGTGAAGTCGACTAGTCGATACAACCCCTTGGCGCCTCGGTATTTTTATCGTGAGAGGCGCTATATAAAAGATGGTTATTGATTTTTCTTGTTTTGGATTAGCTTTCCTGGAGTTCTGATGCACGGAAACCGTTTCTTCTGTACCCGGCATGGCGAAGACGGCGTTCCCATCAGCAGCGTGATGCAAAGGGTCGACATCTGCATCTGTGTGAATGCCTTTCATGTCTCTCCAGGAGGACTTGGAGCGTACCCAGCTAAACGTGTTAGCAGTGCAGGCTATCACCAGCCTGGTGCTGAGTGCCATGACCCTGCCCGCCGCTGGCAACCCTGCGGTCAGCTGTCTGGAGCAGCAGCCTCGCAACAAGAGCCTGAAAGCGCTGGAGACGCGGTAGCTATGCAGCCATCGCCTGTCTGACTGGGAGAGTGATCAGACGTGTTACCGGTAGAGCTTCAGAGGGGAATTTGTGTGTTTCCAGGTTTGGGAGGAAACTGGCTGTGATTAGGGGCGAAGTGGAGAGAGAGATTCAGGCTCTTGTGTCAAAAAGAGACAACGTCCACACACATCACCCGTACCACGCCTGGGACCCCGTTCCCTCGCTGTCCGCAGCCTCCACAGGTAACTAGCTCCTCCTCTGCATCTCTGACACACAAACGCTTCAATAAAGCACGCTATGCTAACTGGTTTCAGCAGGTATGCTGATCAGCCACGAGAAGCTGCTGCTTCAGATCAACACGGAGAGGGAGCTGGGCAACATGGACTACAAGCTGGGGCAGGTGAGAGGCGCTCTGACGTCAAGTCAGAGGAACAGGATGATCCATGCAGCAGCTAACGTTAGCATCACCTGCAGGTCTCCATCCATTCTGTGTGGCTGGGCAACAACATCACTCCCCTGAGGGAGGAAGAGTGGGGCGAGGATGAAGAAGACGAAGCAGACACTCCGGCGCCCGCTTCGCCACCTTTATCACCAATAAACTCCAGGTTGGACGACGCGGCTCCTCGCACGCCAACGCCATCTGTGCCTACCAATGTGGCATCAGCTGTTGGTGGTCTCCGATGATCAGCTGATGTTTGTGTTTTCAGGAAACACCGAGCAGGTGTGGACATTCACTCCTGCTCACAGTTCCTCCTGGAGCTTTACAGCCAGTGGCTGATCCCAGGCCCTCCCAGCAACAAGAGGACTCCGACCATCCTCATCAGTGAGGTGGTTCGCTCGGTGAGCTGCTGCTCCTGTTTTAGCTCCGCCTTTAGCCCGGTGATGTCACAGGAAATGAGCGGTCACTGTGTTGTTTCCACAATAAAAGTAGATTACTTTCCGTCTGTTCAGTACCCGAGCGAGCTAAAAATGAGATGGAAACCGTTTCAGTCTGAATCCTTATTGTCTCACTTTTACAAATTAAAAGTAGTCCCATGGGAACTCGGGCTCTTAATCTGAAGGGTGGCGTTGAATGAACTGGTTAACGGTGATTGAAATGATTGACCCTTTTCAGCTGCTGGCCGTGTCGGACCTGTTCACTGAGAGGAACCAGTTCGACATGATGTTCTCCACCCTGATGGAGCTCCAGAAGCTTCACCCACCAGAGGACGAAATCCTGAACCAGTACCTGGTTCCTGCCATCTGCAAGGCGGCGGCCGTGTTGGGCATGGTGAGAAAAAGGAGCTGGGACGCGCCGACTTGTGTTTTACGTGCCGTTTATCTGCTTCCTGATCCGGAGAATCCTTTCAACGTTCCCAGGACAAAGCCATAGCCGAGCCTGTGTGCCGCCTGTTGGAGACGACCCTGCGCAGCACCCACCTGCCCAGTCGCATGGGGGCCTTGCACGGCGTGCTATACGTGCTGGAGTGTGACCTGCTGGATGAAACGGCCAAGCAGCTCGTTCCGACGGTCTCCGAGTACCTTCTGTCGAACCTCAAGGCCATCGCTCAGTGAGTGGCGCTCACGTCTCCGACAGACGCTGACCTCATTTCACCTCCTAATGAGTTTAACTGGCAGTAAGACCAGCCTCAGGGAGCCCCCCTCCTCACACACACACACACACACACACACACACTGAGAGAGCATCTGTTGTTCTGTTTGGTTCTTATCCAGCTTAAGGAAAGAGTGCAGTTCTGGTCTCTGCCTCTAGGTGCTGCTCTTGCCGCTTCACTCACATCCCTGCAGCATCTTTTAAACATCCCTGCTGCGTTTGCTGTGTTTCCCTCCTGCAGCTGTGTGAACCTGCACAACCAGCAACATGTGCTGGTGATGTGTGCCGTGGCCTTCTACCTGATGGAGAACTACCCTTTGGACGTCGGAGCCGAGTTTATAGCCGGAGTCATACAGGTGAGCTCAAGTCGTCAGTTCCTTTTACTCGCTCGGAGGTTGTGAGGACAGAAGCTGTTGAGATTGGACCCTCTCCCTCGTGTTTCCAGCTGTGTGGCGTGATGGTGTCCGCCAGCGAGGACTCCACCCCCTCCATCGTCTACCACTGCGTGCTGCGAGGACTGGAGCGCCTCCTGCTGTCGGAGCAGTTGTCCCGCGTGGACGGAGAAGCGTTGGTGAAACTCGGCGTGGACCGTGTCAACATGCCGTCTCCGCACCGCGCCATGGCCGCTCTGGGTCTCATGCTCACCTGCATGTACACCGGTGAGCACAAACACACCTTCTGGTTGCATGTTGGTTTGTTCTTCATGACTGGTGCTGCTTGCTTCTGTCACGGCTGACTCCTAAAATTCCTGCACAAGGCTGGCTAACTCGTCTGCATGAACATTCCTGCTGTGATGTGGTAACGCTTAGTTCATCCCTTTGCACGCGTCCCTGACTCCCTCCTTCCCAAAAGCATGGAGCGCCTCCACAAACACTAATGGTTCATCTGTGGTCTGATTTATGGGCCATTCCCATCTGTACCCGGTCGGCCCGGGCCGGGTAGCGTAGGTTGTTTACATATCTGGGTGGCCTGGTATTTTTCCGGGCCAACCAAGGCTCATTCTCAGCCCTCTTCTGGAGGGGGTCTGCTTCAGGCCGACCAGGGCCAACACACCCACTGCTGACAGCAAATTCACACCTTCCATTAGAGCAGGCCTCTGATTGGTGGGTAGAATCAGCCCACATGGGCTTAAGACAAAGATGTGTGGAATCAACCGGGCCAGGCTGGGGCTACCCGGCCCGGGCCGACCCGGTACAGATGGGAATGGCCCAATAGAGACGAAGGCATGAGGAGTCCCGCTCTCGACTGTAATCATTAGCTCCTAGCTTAGCGAAGCAGTTAGCAGCAACTTAGAAAAGAAATGTCTTGTTTGAAAGTAATTAAAACTGAGCGTGATCGTAGTTGGTTTCTTAAAAAGGGTCTCCATATTGAAATACAGTTTAGTCCCTACAAGACTGAGGAGCTAATGGCTAGTTCCAGCTTGCTGCCGTCTTAAAATGACTCCAGTCTCCAAAACCTCCTGGCTTTTCATGCATCGTTTTATAAACTTTTAAAGATGTGGAACACAGATAAACCATTTTTAATGATTGTTTCAGATTGTAACGGGTCCCTCTGAGTTTAACATCCAGGCTGAACATAAAAATGGGTGTTTGTCAATGTCAAGGCTCCTGACCTCGTGAGGCGTTGTCTTGCGAGGCCAGGTGCCTTGCTCACGAGGACACGGTCCTTCCTTGGTCAAAGAAAACAGTTAAATGGAACAGACTTGTATCACGTGACCGCGGCTTCAACGGCGGTCACGTGATACGGGAGAAACTATATTTTATACGTATTAGTTTAAATATAAATATTTAACAAGACTTTTACTTTTTAAATTGTGTATATGTTTATTAAATTACATAAATAAGTGAGTTACTACCCGCTAGCCACCGAAGCTGCAACTACTTAGCAACTAACCAACCATAGATAACCTCTTTGGATCTAAAAAAAAACATTTTAAATTAGTTGACTTACTTTTAAACTTGAAATTTGCCCCGAAGTAGCTGCCGGCTTCTGATCAGCCGTCCTTTAGAAAATACTGGGTATTCTGGATAATTTTTGACCAAGGCTAGACTCCAAGACACCTCCCGTGTATCCTCGCTCAGCTAGCTAAACGGCTAACAAACGGAGAACACACGCCTCGGTAGAACATGGACATTGGAACACGTCTTGGCGGCTCCTGATGACGTATCTCCTAGGCAACCGGGGCGGGGCCAAGACATCAAGGCAAGGTTCCTTGGCATTGAGAAACACTCCTAGTCTCCTACACCTATCTCCTGCAGTAGCTTCTGATAGAAAACAGACGGTGAAACTCTAGGATAGAAAATCCTGACAGATCTACGTCACACTGTCACTAACATTCATGGACTCACCCATCCGGACTCACGACGGGGAAGGCTGTTGTTGGTTTAGCGTCCAGGAAGCAGCAGAGAACGCCTCAGCTAGTAGAAGCTAACTGTTAGCATTAGGAACTCCAGAAACGGGCGCACCGGAGCTTTTTTTCCCCCAGAGTACGACTTACAAGGCATTCATTCCTATTAGACCACCTGTGTGCAACACCTTTAAACCACATCAGACAGGTGTTGACGGGACCAGCTCTGGTGCACCAGCCCTCGTGCCCAGCATGAAGGTTTATAAAATAGTGGAGGTTGCTTTAAGACGGCAGCGATCCATTTTGGAGCTGACCACTAAATAAATGTGATTTTATAATTATTAACAATCTGCAAACACGCAATAACATCACATGGCTTCACAGCGACAGAAGTAAAAGATTAAAAGTTAGGAAAGGAGCCCGGCAGCTTCTCGTTGGTTTCCCCTTCCTTCTCCCTCTCATGTCTGCACCGTCTCTGAAGCTCCGTATGATTACGTGTCTGTTTATTCAGCTCAGCCTGTTCCAAAAGTCCAAAAGACAGAAGCGTTCGCAGCTGCTTTGTTCCTTAAAACCGCTCATGAGCAGAACCTTTTCTAAATGGAACGCAGCCGTCTGAAGCCCAGGCGCCCGCTGTGCTTTAGGCTGATGGGGCTCACCTGCCTGCTCCCTGCACCTGTGATGTAGCCTACCTCTAACCCTACCTGGCCCTACTAACCACAGCGCTAGTGTGTAGCTCTTCGTATCCTAATGCCCCTCCTGCTCAAGAGTTGGCCTGCAGACCCTTTGGCCCTTTTCAAAAATGCAAACCGACTTCCTGCGTTTCTCGTGTGCCGAATGTGTGGCTGAAGCTCATTCTGGTCACAAGAGAACCCATTTCACCGAAACCACGTCTCTAAAAACGCCTCCAGCACCAGTCAGACACCACCTGATTAAACTTCCTGTTTGTGGTTTTTAAAGTTCTAATCTGAGTCATGTGATGCGACCCCCTCCCCCCAACCTTTACCCCACTGGTCCGACCGGCGCCGCCATCCTTCTCATCTTCTCAGCGGTTCTTGCGTCAGGCTCAGATGCCACAGGGGTTAGAGGTCAGGCTGGCTCTGCTGTAGCCGAGGCGGTTGGCGTCACAGCGGGTCATGTTGGTTTCTCCTCAGGCAAGGAGAAAGCCCACCCTGACCCCCAAGCCCCAGACAGCGAGTCGGTCATCGTCGCCATGGAGAGGGTTTCCGTGCTCTTCGACAGGTAAAGCCTCACCTCAGAACTCGGTCACGCGGTGATCATTCCAGGTTTTTTTATTTTAAAGTCAAAGTGGTGAGAAAAGACAGGAAGTGGTTTTTTGTGTCCTAACTATCACGCCGGGGTTTCCTGTTCCTGCAGGATCAGGAAAGGTTTACCCAGCGAGGCTCGGGTCGTGTCCAGGATTCTGCCCCAGTTCCTGGACGACTTCTTCCCTCCGCAGGACGTCATGAACAAAGTCATCGGCGAGTTCCTGTCCAATCAGCAGCCGTACCCGCAGTTCATGGCCACTGTGGTTTACAAGGTCAGCAGCAGCAGCCCCGAAACGAGAGAAAAGCAGTCCGAGCTGTTGTTTTTATAGACTCCTCCCTTCTGTGCACGCCCACCCAGGTGTTCCAGACGCTCCACGCCACGGGCCAGTCCTCAATGGTGCGAGACTGGGTGCTGCTGTCCTTGTCCAACTTCACTCAGAGGACACCAGTGGCCATGGCTATGTGGAGCCTCTCCTGCTTCTTTGTCTCTGCGTCCACCTCCCAGTGGATTTCTGCTCTGTATCCTTACATGATCCATGAGCAAGGCAGCGATCGGCCTCTTTCTTTTATTTAGCAGCATGTAGAGGGGAAGCAGAAGATCCAGGGCGAGTCGTCCGGTTGAAGTCTGTTGGTCTGCGTAACGCGGAGACCCACGGGGAGCTCCTACAACATTTAAACTAGATAATCTTGTAGGGATGATCGATGCTACCAAAATCTCTAATCCCAACAGAGGTCGTCTCAATCCCAATTTAATGCTAAACTCACCTCTTCCTTCCTTTTTGAGCTGCTGTGGATCTCCGTTGCCTCCATAAAAAAATCCATCCATCTGTTTTCTGTCAGCGATCGGTTTTAGGAACTATGTAACTAAAACAGGGCTGGGCGATACGGGCTAAAATCAATATCACGATATATTGAGGATGTAACTTGGATAACGATAAATGGACGATAGCTACAGGCGTGCGCAGAAACAACAGTTGTCCACTAGATGGGGCTGTCACGTGTGTTCGTCCAGTCACATTTTTAACGACCTAAGGTGGTGCAGCTTCATGAATGTTGCCAACCTACACACACCTTTTCATTTTTTTTTTAATTATCAAATTTCTTGACATGGGAAAAATTATCTCAATGGGAGTCAGAAAATTCGATGATAAATTTTCGATTTATTGCCCAGCCCCAACCTAAAACAAGCCGTTTCAAAATGTCCACATTTGTGATGTCACAACTGGGAAAACTAGCATAGAACCTCCTCTAACCTCTCCAGGGTGGAGGAACAGCTCTATTCCAAGCCCCTCCTATTGGAGCTTCTCGGCTTTTTGACCCTTTGCACGTGACGTCACGCCACTCATGTGACGGCCCCCTTCACCATGATGGACGGCAAAAAGACCGTTTACACCCGTAGAAACTCCAGTGAAGCTAGTCAAACAAGCCAGTTAGTAGTTTTTTATCGTTTTTATTTAGTTGATTTGACAGTAAAATGGTTTCAGCTTGCTGCGCGGTCGGCTGCACTAAGAGACAAGGACGTAAACAACTCGTTTTTTCTTTTTAATAACTTTGATGGAGACTGAGGACGGAGATGAACTGCAGCGATCCATCAAGCGGTCTAGCAGCCCTCAGATTAGCAGCGAGCATGTTTTTACCGGGTACGATTAACGTTCATTTATTTCACAAGGAAGACAGGAACAGGGATAAATGTGATGTGTTTGTGATAGAGCTGCACGATATTGGGAAAACCTGCGATATTCGATAACAGTGCTTAATACTGCGATATCGATATTACTCGCGATAAATGAACAAATACTAAAGTATGCAGTGTTGATGTCGTCTGGCGTGTGACGTCTGCTCTGGGCTCAAAGCAAACAACAACTAATGCATGAATTCCATTACAACATAACATTTTTATTGCAAAAACATGCAGCTGCACCTGCTACTGAATTAGCAGCTGCACCTGCTACTGTATTAGCAGCTGCACCTGCTACTGTATTAGCAGCTGCACCTGCTACTGTATTAGCAGCTGCACCTGCTACTGTATTAGCAGCTGCACCTGCTACTGAATTAGCAGCTGCACCTGCTACTGTATTAGCAGCTGCACCTGCTACTGTATTAGCAGCTGCACCTGCTACTGTATTAGCAGCTGCACCTGCTACTGTATTAGCAGCAAAACAACAAACTGCATGCATGCAGTTTCTCAGTGACTTTAAAACATCACCTCCACCATAAAACTTTTTCTGATGCTCCAAATACAGAAAAACATCCCTTACCAGGGTTTTTAGAATAAATAGTTTAAATGTTAAATAATATTTAACATCACTTAAATGCAACAGCAAATTCTCTCATTGCTACTGAGCATTTTCTCCACTTATGTGGTTATGATAGAAGGTTGTTGCTGCAACTGGGAAGTGAACTGTGCTGGGCCAAACTAGGAGAATATTAAGATTTTCTGAGGGAAAGAGAAAAACAATTGTCTACCTTTCAGAAGAGGAACTGGCAAAAAAAACTACATGTAAAATATATGAAAATGTTTGGTTTTAACCCCAAATTGAACAAGTTTACCTGGATCTTAAAAAGCAGCTCAGATGATGAAACTGCAACTATGATTCTGATAACAAGCTAACAAATTGAACTAGCTCCTCTAAGATAACCGGCTAGCAGAGCTTCTAACTGACAGTTTATGTGCAGCAGCAAATCAACTATCCTGATTAACAAGGTTATAAAAGCTCATAAATGAAAAATCACTTTGATGTGTGGGGGAACTTTTCCAGGCCCTCTTTAGCAGGGTGGGCCTGGGAGGAGAGTGCTGTAGCCTTTTAGCTGGAAGCTAACCGGAGCCTGGGGCTAACATCACCACCCAGTGGAACACTAGGGACATGAAGGTGGGTTGGTTCACCGGCACGTGTCGGAGTCAGCCCGGTAAAAATGATTAACGACACCGAGCGGACTCACGTTCACGTTTGAAAGCAGCGCTGATTCCAGAAACATCAGCACAAAGTGCGTTCGTTGCTCTGAGCCAGCATGACGAACAAGGGAACGGCGCCGCTAACTCAGTTCAGGTGTTGCTTTCCAAAAGGGTCTACGTAGGGGGCGGGCGTATTACGTGAACGGACCCATCTGATTGGCCGCATATCAGAAGGGCTACATTTGATTGGTGAAATAATACTTCCGCGTAAAAAACAGCTGGTTTACAAAAAGTTGATGTATGACACGGATGGAAATGTTTGAACCAAACATTTATCGCCGTTTTTGACGTGTTTTGCGATGGGCCTATCGCACGTCCTGTTATCGCGATGACGATAATTTTTCGATATATTGTGCAGCCCTAGTTTGTTTGTACTATCCTGATGGACGGTATTTCACCACGGAGGATGCGCTCCGTCCACTGTAGTGTAAAGCGAGACAATTATTAACAATATAAGAATATTAACAAAGCTCCGATGTATGATTACGTGTGTTAAAATTACGTTATTTATATGAGCGTCGCTGTTCAGAGATCTTCTCAGCAGCTGAACCCGGTAACACCACCAGCAACAGAAGCTGGTAGGGATCCGGACTTTTTAACAATCAGCTTTGGTGTAAAGTGAAACGCTGTTTATAACATAAAGTTATAAATCCAGAGGGGTGAATTTAGGCAAAGTCAGCAACATGTTTACATCGTGAACAGCTGCAGAGAGAACGTAAGCTAACGTTGGTAAGCTAGTTAACATACCGCTCTCTATGAGCCCCGCTAGATGCGCTACTTCTTCTGATAACTGAACTGGCCATGAACTAGTTGAAGGAATGCTGGAGGAGTTTTGTTTTTGTTTTGATTGCAAAAACAATTTCAGGCTCTACTTTTCCCTTTGTTTAGTACTCGTGTCGCTCGCTGTTTACATGCTTTTGCCGTTCACCATGGTGGGCCCACGTGATTAGGTGACGTCGGCTCAAAGGGTCAATAGTAGCCTGAGGCAGTGGGGGAGGTGGGCGTGGCCAGATCTAGAACCCTGAAATGGCTCATTCTGGAAGGTACTGAAACGTGAGCGGGATTTAGCGCAACAAACCTCTTAACCTTGTTTTGTATTGACCATAGAACCATATAAATTAAGGAAAGTCATAATGTCTCCTTAAAACACAATCGAGCCCATTTTCTGTTCATTCTGCTGATGTGCTTTCATGCGGAAGGGTTAGCCCAAAGGGAGGCTAACGCTAGCACACTTTTATCAGTAAGGTGGTTCCCGGTGATTAGCTTGATTAGGGGATAAAGTAAAAACACTGGCAGCTCTGAACAGACGGGCCGACATTTAAAAGCTTCGCAGTCTGGACGTTTGTTCCAGGTGAGAGGAGCATCGAAGCTGAAAGCTGCTGCTCCATGCTTGGTTCTGGTTCTGCAGAGTAGGCTGGAGTAAGTGGACCTGAGTGGTCTGGGGGGTTGGCGTAGTGACAGTAGAGCTTCACCGGTGCAAGGCCATTCAGTCATTAACTAGTAGGAGTAGTCTGAAGTCTATTCTCGGAGCTACAGGAAGCCGGTGCAGGAACGGGGCGATGCGCTCTACTCTCGTAGTTCTGGTGAGCATCAGCACTCTGGATCAGCTATGAGAGCGGTGCTGCAGTAATCCATCAGACTAAAGGCTGACCTTTATGTGACCCTGGAGGTTCTGGACTTCAGGCCTGGTCAGAACTTTCTAGCTGTGTTAACTGAAGCTGTGGGCGAACTCAACAGCTGTTGAGGTCCAAAGATAATGACTTCAGCTCACTTCCCCTCCGTTCTGGTCCGATGTTTGTTTGCATTTCCAGTCAGCCGAGTACCAACGAGCTTTCTGAACGGTTTTCCCCTGAAACAGTACATTTGATCTGATTCTGCTTTAACGTGTTGAGTGATGGAAACCCGCTGCAGCCCCCCCCCCCCCCCCCCCCCCTCCCCTCCACACGCTCTCTCTCTCGCAGAACCAGTTATAAAGCAGAATATTAAAGAAATGACACATTCCAGGAAGTTTCTCCTCGTTTAGGAATCGGCGTCTTGATTTGTTTTGGCCGGTTCTGTGTTGCTCTGAGTCTGCAGACGCTCCTCTAACCTGATCAGAACATCGTCTGTTTGTCCTTATCGTCCTTCCCCGATGACCAGACTTCCACACGTGATCAGCCGAATGGGCTCCAGCGAGATCGTGGACGTCAACCTGTTCTGCCTCGTGGCCATGGACTTCTACCGGCACCAGATCGACGAGGAGCTGGACCGCAGGGCGTTTCAGTCCGTCTTCGAGACCGTGGCCTCGCCAGGCAGCCCTTATCACCAGCTGCTGGGCTGCCTGCAGTCAATCCACCAAGACGCGTCCCTCTGAAGGCAGCGCAGCGGGAGCGCCACCGCGGGGGCCAGAGGGACATAATAAATTAGAGAGATGTAATTAGACCTGCCGCTCACAGACGAGTTTCATCTCGTCGCCGATGTGAGGGAGCTACTGAGATCGGAAAGGCGAGCGAGGGTGGAGGAAAGTTTCTGTCCGAATGCACTTATGAAGGACACGAGCTGCTGTCCACCCGTCCGCAGCCTCCTCACTTAGTTGATGTTCCCCTGAGGGCGTGTTCATATTGTGATGTCAGTAACGTACAATAGAAATGAAGTATTTACTGTATATAAGGCTCCATGCGTTTATTTTTCTGTGACACCGGGATGATGCAAATACGCCAGAGACGAGACTGGGAAAGCGTAAATGTAACGCCGTGATCGTGACCGCGGAGCTGCAGCGGTGCTCCGTTCTGAGAGGATGAGCCTCTCAGAACGGAGCACCGCTCTTAACCGTTTAAGAGCCTGAACCGTGTCTGCACCAGAGTTCTGCGAACGATCGTGACGAAGTACCAAACTCAGTGCTTTTCTCTGCTTTTTTAAATATCCGGTAGCCGAGCTGTTTCTCCCGTGGTTTTATTTGAACAACGAGCTCGTCTCTGTCCCGCTGCAGCCCGTTCGCTCCCTTATGCAGAGTAATGGATTCATCTAGATCTTGTACTTTTTTAATTCTCAGGATATTCGACTTTATTATTGTTGTTGAAAGACTGGAAAAGGTTAACGGTCTTAATGGAGCACCTTCGTATGTTGTAAAAATGAAATAAATTGTACAGTAAAATGTAAAGTGTTGCATGATGAAATGTGAGGGTGTGTGATGTGTCGCCATCTTTCGTTTGTTGTCTCACACACACACACACACACACACACACACACACACACACACACACACACACTATGAGCTTCTAGTGTTTGGGGCTAGCTGGACTCTTCCTCTGTGCGCCTGCCTCCGATGACCAACATGTATGTTCTGTACACTGAAGCATGTTTAGCTTTTACTCCTGTTATCTGGCTTCCTGTTGAATTCTGCGTTTCTGTGGCGGCTGTTGCCGTGAAGAAAAGTGATGGAGTCCAGAGGAAGCCCAGTGACCTTAGCAACCAGCAGCAGCTTCGACAAATCGCACTTTCAAGAGGAGGCGTAGCAACGCCACATCGCATCAGTTCTTATTTTCTTCAGCTTTTAATATCATTTTGTCTGAAAAAAAAACATAAACAGGCAAATATGACATCGATGTCTGTGTGCAGAACAATAAACACACTCAGCACTTCAAACGTTCTCATTTGTCTTTAATGCCTTGTTAAAGAGTAAGTCACCCCCTCCCAGAGTATTACTCCGCTCCCACTTCCTGTTTGAAAAATGCAACAAATGCTGTTCCATAGCAGACCGAGGGGGCGGAGCCGCTAACAAACACACACACACACACACACACAGGCTCACAACGACATTGTGACATATGGTACCAGCTAACGTTCTAGGGTACCTCTTAGCCAATAGCGATGGCAGATTTAAATTCAAATGCAGTGCAGAGTTTTTACCTGACAACGGCACAACACTGACAGTTTTAGGCAGAAAATTTAAATTTTAACTAAAATGCACTAAAGTGCAAAACTGTTGACTACACGTGTCTGCAGCACGATTAGACACACATTTATATAGTTTATCAGAAAAAAAATTAGATTTGGGGGTGACTTGCTCTTTAAAATAAGGTTTTGGCGTTTCAGCCGTCTGTAGCTATCGTGATTTCTAACGCGAGGCCTCGCTGCAGGAGTTGTGTGGTTGGGGTCGGGGAGGAGAATGTTTTTATCTCAGTGGAATTAGAAGAGCAAAGACTTCAGCAGGGGGTAAGAAGATTTATTCTAAAACCTTTAGTGGCTTTTTATTTATCTTGAACAAAATGTGCAGATTGAATCTTTTGTTTTTTCTCTGAAAACGTCCCTTTGATTAATTTTCAGGTGATTTAACTGGTTTAAATGGGTTAATTTGTGCTTTTTGTTTTCTTAAATTTTATATTTATGTGACACGTTCCAACTGCCAAGAGGCGAACCAAAGGGCCGTGCGCGCATAAAACAAACATCTCTGACCCATACAATGACAGACTAAAATATTTTTAATAAAATTTTGTCACAATTATTGCATATGTCTATTTTGAGTACCAATACAAGAAGTCACTATGAAATATTTGCATTTAGGAAATAAATAGATCCCATTTTTTGTGGCCCACGAGGTCCAGGGTTTGACAACTCCCTTCGAGAGTTGGTATCCAGCATGTTTTAGTTGTTTTCCTGCTTCATCACACCTGATTTTAATCAGCAGGTGATTAACAGGCTTCTGCAGAGCCTGATGAGCTGCTGCACAGGTGAATGAAGTGTGTTGGAGCAGGGAAACGGCAAAAACATACTGGATACCAGCCCTTGGGGCCAAACCCAAGTCTGTTCTAGTTAACTGGAGTAATGTGCTCATTTAACATAAACTCTTCACATAACAATTATGTTTTCACATTTATCACATTTCCCTTATCTCTTTAAGATTGCAGCTCATTCTTCACAGACCAAACCGCACACGGTTGCTTCACGGCGCCCATTAGCGTGTGTGGTCTGATTAAGGCATTAGCAGGATTACAAAGCAGCTGCCATATGGTTCATGAGGCTCTAAAACAAGGAGGGCAATAAATTTAAGATTAAATTCAGACCTCTGGAAATGTGAAACTAAAGTTTCACAGACGTCGGCGTGTTTCTGGCTAGAAGAAATAACTTATTTAATCAAAAGGACATCCCAAATGTACGGAAGCATAGAGCTGCCACCCACAAAATAAAGTTAGAGCAACATCACATTATAACTTTATTGTTCTAACAATATAACATTCACATTCTTACAATAAAGTTTTCAAATTTGTACAGTTTACATATTTATAATGTTTGTACGATATAACGTCACGTTCTTACTACAAACATGAAAATATGGTAAAAATAAGAATATATAGATGGAGCAACAAAGTTCTGTTATAAATGTGAAAACGCTCTGATTTTATTTTTGCGTGGGTGGCAGCAACGGTAATCTTTTATCATACATTGTGCTTTTGCTGCTGTGGAGGGAATAACAGTGTGATGCAGGCCCTTTAAAACAGCTGCATGTTACTTTTTATGACTAAATTTAAATGACATTGTTTAATTAGAGTTATGTGTTGCAGAAGCTGCCTGAATGACTAAAAATTCACAATAATTCTACAGGAATAACCATGTTTTTTATGTATTACAACCTAAAGCATTTTAAACTGAGGTTTTATTTGTGACTCATCTTGATTTCTCTAAACTGAGGCAGGTAAAGATGTAATATTTGTGCTAATTTTCACACAATCCCACTTTGAAATAAATGAAAACATTATTTCACAAAGTCCTAGGGCCCTGTGCCCACATATGTGAACATTAAATCCTATAATTTTTTTAACTTTACCTTTTTGTTATTTATAGACACTTGATGTTGACTTTAAAGAGCAAGTCACCCCCTACCAGATTCTTACCCCACTCCCACTTCCTGTTTGAAAAATGCAACAAATGCTGTTGCCTAGCAGACCGAGAGGGCGGAGCCGCTAACAAATACACACACACACACAGGCCTTGTTCGAGTTGAGCAGCGCCTCGCCTAGAAAACAGACGAGAGCAGACGGACGCAGCAGGGGGAGTGGCTGAAAGCCGGCGTTTAAGTCGGGCAGATTTCCCTACATGTGTAGCTCGCGGGTGACGATAGATGAAGATATCGCGTTCATACTTGTTTAATTATTTATTTTAATTCTGGTGCCTGTTAGCAACCGAAACACATCCTCACGTGCTTGTGGATATCATATATTGTATATGGAGACCTGACTGTAATAATAAGTAAAGGTTATCAGCTGTAGCTTTAGTGTGCTCATAGGAAACGTGACAAAATAACACAAATCACATTCATCTTTGTGGCCTATGTAGTTGTCATCATCAACGTTACATGATTTAAAGATGTGACCAACTAACATTTTGCATTCAACCACCGGATGTTTGGATCAAAATGTGAACCAATCAGATCTTAGATCAGGTGAGAGCCAGGCGTTTCCCGTCATGCCCTAGGTTTTGCAGCCGGTGGAGAGCAACTGCAGCGCCTTGCTCCAAAATTTGCGGCTGCCTTGATCTCGAGAGGTTATCGTTGCCTATGTATGCATGACGTCAGCAAGTCGGCGTCAAGTCAGACACAAATCTAACCGGCTAGCACTGCGCGCCGATCACCGGTGATCTAATCTGCGCAGAACTGGATCATCTTGAACACAGCCATTGTGACATCATATGGTACCAGCTAACGTTCTAGGGTACCTCTTAGCCAATAGCGATGGCAGATTTAAATTCAAATGCAGTGCAGTTTTTACCTGACAACGGCGCAACACTTGACAGTTTTAGGCAGAAAATTAAAATTTTAACTAAAATGCACTAAAGTGCAAAACTATTGACTACACGTGTCTGCAGCACGATTAGACACACATTTATATATTTTATCAGGAAAAAAAGTTGATTTAGGGGTGACTTGCTCTTTAAGTTTACTTTATTTTGCTGTCTTTCTTTTTTGTGTAAGATTTACATTTTTATTCGATTATATTGTACGTTCTTTAAATGTTTGTAATTTAGTTAGAGTAGACTAAGCTGTACAAGCTAGATGTGTTTTTTAAACCTCACCATGCACAAGTATGGGAGGTTAGGGTTAATTCGGATAAATGATGTTTATGCATGAACATGAAATTAAAATGTTAAACTACGTTTGGTTGGTAGAAGATCCAGCAGCAGCAGAACGAGCGGAATTCATGAAGGCAGTAAAACTTTGGTCCATCCGAGGGTCCCGTGTTTGCTCTGCCCACTCTAAACACCTCCTCTCCCCCAGACCTCCTCCTCCTCCGGGCCACTCCGCCAGATGGTGCGGTCTTTTCTTTTGTTTACTCATCGCCCCCTGAGTTTACCTAACGACCCAAACGACTGAACTACGTAGTCGTCCGGAGCTACATCATCGCTCAACACCGACAAGTAAGCCATTTTCTTACTTCCAGCTGAGAGAATCCGCTGCAGAAAACATCATTAAAAAGACATCCATCCATCCTTTTTTTCTTCTTTACTTTTACAACTCGGACGTGTTTCAGCCGGCTGCTGTCGTTTCTTTAAAGTTTGTTGACTAGTCCAAGTGCTTTTACCTGCACTCTGCTTTCGTAAACACCCACTAAAGCTGTAAGAAGCCGCTAGCGGAACCGAACCTGCCCCGCGGTTTGACACCTGTGGAAATGGTTACCGTTAGAAGTTTAACCAGTGATTTCTCAAGCTAACTTTTAACTTTTTGCTCCACTTCATCAGTACGCTGCTTTGATTGACAGCCAGGGAGAGCCAATGATCGAGAAGGAAACTATCTGTGTACACTACCGTTACTATGGCTACGGACCGACATTCCATAGATATGGAGCTCGAGGGGTGGGACCGGTGCGCCTAGCAAGAGTGGTTGTGCGGCCAAAAGGCTAAACTCACGGCTAGAAAACTTTATGAAACTTTAAATAGGCTAATCAAACACGCGCCGTTGTCAGCGTCACGTGATAACCGACCTGCTTGGTGGTTTCTTTCACCTGTAGCAATTCTACAAACGGTGCTAACGTTGCTAGCGTGGTGTGCTACCGAATGAAGCTAACGCTCCTACGTCAGCGAGTTTTTAATTTAAAGAGGTGTCTAACATTAACTAAACACCACTTGTGCCACGTGCTTTACCTGACCTCCAGGTGTGTCAGTCTTTTCTCTTCCACTTTGTTTCTAATAAATATGAACATTTATTGTGTTGTATTTACAAAACTAGCATGTTTTCAGTCCCATAAGATCATTTTAACGTTTTCCTCCTGAAATTCATATTTCTGCTTTTGTTTTTCAGAGTCAACAGTTTAGATGAAGTGTGAAATCTGAACGCGCGCTGAAAAATAAGATTTAAACTGATTTAATGTGATGAATTGAAACCCACAATAAAGCGGTAACCTGTGACTTTGTGTCTCAGACATCTTCCCTGGACGGCAGCAGGACTGACACCAGGATGGGACCGCCAGAGGCCTGGTTTTCACCCATGTGCTGCATTCTGAGCCGCTGCTCCTGGTTTCGAAGCAGACTGACACCACAGCTGATGTAGACGCCCACTAAAGCCTTGTGCTGTCGCTGGAGCAGGATCTAAATGTTTAAAATGGCAAATTAAAAATCTGTCTGATAAATGGACAAAAAGAGGTTTCCTGGTACAATGTCCAGGCAGATGGATACATCCTCCAAGAGACGCCCGTGTGTTGGAGGTGGCTTCCCCCAGCCCCCTCCAACTTCCATCCAGTATGGTCGCATCAAGGCGGTGGAAGTGGCGAGAGGGAGGACGGGCTATGGGTTCACGTTGACGGGCCAAAGCCCGTGTGTCCTCAGCTGCATCCTGAAAGGAAGTCCTGCAGACTATGTGGGCTTACGCTCGGGAGACTACATCCTCTCTGTCAACGATATAAACGTCTCCAACGCTTCTCACGAGGATGTGGTCAAACTGATCGGACGATGCTGCGGCGTTCTGAAGCTGGTCATTGCAGAGGGAGACCATCACAGACGCCAGCGCCACCAGCGAACCGCCACCAGCCGTCACCACAGCAACAACACGGTGGCAGCATCGTACCTGGACTCTTGCTCTAGTGACGATGAGCTGGATGGTTACTATGACAGCGGCATCAATAACAGCAGGTCGGGGTGTGGAGCCCGGGGAGGATGGTACAAACCCAAACTGGACTCGAAGCAGATGGGCATCAATAGAGCAGAGAGAGTTGTGGCTGAGTTGCAGTCTGGGGGGATTTTTAACATGATCTTTGAGAACTCCAGTCACTCCTCCAGCAGCTCGGACAAGGACAGACCCGGGGTCGGCTCGTCCTCCAAGCCCCGGCCGCTGTCTGATCCAGAATTCCCTACATACCGGAACTGCTCTCGCTCCCAGAGTAACCCCAACCTTCTCTCTGAGGAGGAGATGGCACAGGTTCTGAATGACGATTCAGTTTTCCTGGAGTCGGACTTTCAGCATCTCCGCATTCACCACCAAGAAGAGCAAGACATGGACGTGGGGGAAGGAGGCGACTTTGGCCTCGAGTCTGGCGAAGACATCCTGAACGTGGGGATGATTGTTGGATATCTAGGCTCCATCGAGCTTGCCTCCTCAGGAACCAACCTGGAAAACGACAGCCTGCAGGCCATCAGAGGGAGCATGAGGCGACTCAGGGCCGAGCAAAAGATTCATTCGTTAGTCCTCATGAAGGTGTGAAGGAATCTCTTTACCCTCCGCAGATAACAGCTGTTTTTCAACTCTGCTTTTGTAGCGATCAGTAGTTGCACAATGTGCCAAGAGATGTAAAACATTTATATTATTATTATTAGGTTACAGATTGACCAAAATAAATAGAGTAGAGAACAGCGTGGGAACCAGAGTCCCACTGGGCTGTTAGTAATGATAATGGCCTCGTTTGTTTCAGGTGCTAACATGCAGTAATTATATTCATCCAGGTGATGCATGACAGCGTGCGCCTGTGCAGCGACCGAGGTCACGTCCTGGCCTCCTATCCTGCAGAAAAACTGGCTTTCAGCGCCTGTTGTCCTGACGACCGGCGATTCTTTGGCTTGGTCACGATGCAAGCATCAGATGACGACCATCCTTTCAGCAACGGGCAGGATGCGGAGGGGGGCCTGAGGACTTCATGTCACGTGTTCATCGTGGATCCAGAGCTATGTCACCACCAGGTACAAACAATCCGTGATAAAGTTAAAGTCCCATTAATTCATCGCACGCCGGTGACGTTCATCTCCGCATTTGACCCGTCCCGTGGGGAGTGGTGAGCTGCAGTGGTGGCGGCGCTCGGGAACTATTTGGTGGTTTAACCCCCCCAATACAACCCCGTAAAGCTTAGTGTCAGGCAGGGATGCATTAGGTCCCATTATTAACTCATTCGCTGCCAGCCGTTTCATGATGGGTAAAGCTCTTCGCTGCCGGCGTTTCTCACCGTTTTTACTGTTTTTTTAAGAGTGACAGAACGTTGCGCGCTAGCATGATGTCAACGCCAAAACAACCAAAACAAAGAGGAGGCTCACCTCTTACATCAGGAAGAATCCACGCGTTTCGAGCGTTATCCGTTCTTTCATAATCCGTTGTTGAATTGTGATCGGCAGAAGCTTTTCCGGTTCGTGCCTCACTTTTTTTTACACCAGTGGCCCAAAACGATCTCCTAACGCGTGAATGTTCTGCTTCCTGATCACGTGACGTGTGACGTATGCGGATGAAGATCAGCTTTAGAGCTGACATGTTTGTCCTCTCTGTGCGGGGGCTCGTCCGACGCCCACACAGTAAAAAAAATGCCCATGACATGACATCCATTTTACTGTTATTTAAAAAGGAAATGAAACATTTTGCTTTATTTGTAAAGATTATTCACTGTATTGTATCTTAACTGTTAGGGATGTAAGAAAATATCGATATGGCAATATATTGTGATATTTTTTCCTGCAGTATTATATCGATATTCAAAAGCCGTGTATAATTGAAGAATTTACATGCAAAAATTTGTGTTTTTTCCTTTTCTTTCGGTGCACTTCATACTCCGACCACTAGTTGGCAGCAGTGTGCATTGGGTTTTGTTTCCACCATTGATGTAAATCCTAGGGATGTCCCGATACAACTTTTTCACTTCCGATACGATACCGATATTGCGTCCTTCGGTATTGACAGATACCGATATCAATCCGATATGATATCAGCACAAATCATACATACCTATATCATAGTTTGGAATGTATGAAAGGCTTGATCAAGTGATCGTACTCAATAGGAGAACAAGAGCCAATAACAGTAAGCATGAAAACAATGACAATTTTTTTAACCATTGGTTGCAAAAATGTGAACCTTTAAGGACTGCTTATATTGGAGATTTTTGATGGCGTTCGATATAATCCGATACTGTTTTTGGACCGATATCAAATTATTTTCTATATTTATATTGGAACGGGACAGCCCTAGTAAATCCCTCTATTAGATACCTCATGTTAAACATGTTAAGTATCAGTTTAGACTGTTTACTGAATTTCCCTACAATAAATTCTGTCTAAAAAAATTGCTAATATCGTCTGGCCGAATGTATCGCAATATATCGTGATATATCGTATCGCCAGAATTTCACCAATCGCATCCTTTTTAACTGTCGTTAAAAAAAAAACTGTCACGGCCTGCTGTAGCTAGCGCTACCAACAAACTAATGCTAACACAAGCCAACTGATGCTGAATAAGCTATGAAGTAAAAAGATCCACACCGTTGGGAAATAAATATCATTACTTACAAGTCCAGTAGCAACAAAGCCAGGTCACCATAACTCCGTGATTTTGTAGCCTCCTTTAGCTCCCTAAGCTAGCGTAGTCCACGTTGATGTTCCCTCTGGTTTAGCTCTTTGCTTTATTTCCACAGACATCACTTTCTTACTTTTACTTCCAGGCTCCACCACGATGCCAACTGACAGAGAAAGCTAATTTATTTTTCCTCCTCCATTGCTCTTTATGGACGGTCGGCGAACTGAAAAAGCTAACTGCTAGCCCTTATATTAGCTAACTGCAGAGCAAACAGCTGTTGCCGTGAGGCAGGTAGAGACTAGTGTTCCCACCTGAACCACCAGTTTCTGGTCAGCAGGGGGCAGCAGAGTGCGGTCCAGTGTGAAGTTGGTCAAGTTTCTTCGTACAGAACCACTGAAACCAGCTGAAAGTGTTTTATTAGCTGCCCTCGCTGACTGCTTCTCCTGACCGGTTCTGCAGGTCCACCTGGGGGTTGCCAGGAGGTTCGGCTTTGAATGCACCCCCGACCCAGACACAGGAGGCTGCCTAGAATTTCCCCCCAGCTCCCAGCCTCTCCTCCAGTTCGTCTCTGTCCTCTATCGGGACATGGGAGACAACATCGAGGGTGTTCGGGCGCGGGCTTTCCACGACCCGGACAATGACGCACAGCAGAACCACAGCACCAGCAGCAACAGCGACAGCGGGATCGGCAACTTTTTACCTGAGGAGAAGAGCAATAGAGTGCTTTTAGTGGACTTGGGAGGCCCCCCCAATCACAACCACATGTCTGGAGGGACGCGGCACTGGGACAGCCCACCCTCGTCCCAGCAGGCCTGGAGTCCCACCCTAGGAGCTGCAGCTGCGCCTCCTCCTCCTCCTCTTCCTCCACCTCCCATGCTGAGAAATGGCCACTATCTTCATGACCCTCATCTGGCTGACCTCCCTCATCCTCTCCCCCTGACTCACCCCGATGTCCCCGGCAGGCTTTCACGAGGCCTCCACCCTCCCCACTACTCCTCAGGGAAGCTGGGAGGAGCTGTTGGGGGAGGAGAAAGGAGAGGGGCCGGAGGAGCAGTCGGGGTGGAACCTCAGCGGTGGCTGCCTGTCCATGTGCTGAGAGACTGGCGTCAGCAGCACCACCACAGCCACCTCCAGGGTCTGAGCAGCGATCAGGAGTCCTACGCCGAGTCCACCGACGGATGGTCATCGGCCAACTGCAGCACCCTGCCCCCACCCATGAATAAGATCCCAGCAGACCGCTACCGGGCCCCGCTGGCCCCCGGGGACCACATGCAACCACCAGGTGGGAGCCAGCCTCCTCCTCCTGCCGCACTTCCTCACGGCCACCGGCTGCAGAAAGACGAGTGGGCCAAGAAGCTGTTTGGTGAGCGCGAGCGTAGCGCAGCACGGAGACACGACAGAGAGAAGAGGCACGCAGGAAACTCCAAAGAGGCGGAGAAAAAGGTACGTCTGTCACAAAGTCAGGTTAACGTTCGTCTTCCTCCACGTCTTTGAACTGATGGGATAAACTTTTCTGTAAACGGTGTGTGGGTTTATGGCCTATGAGAGAGTTGTGTTAAAACTGACCATGAGATGAGAAGCCGCCCCCACCACATCACACACTCTGGCTAGTGTGTGTGTGTGTGTGTGTGTGTCTGCTGATTATTAAAACAATAAATCCACGGGGGCTCACTCCCCTTATTCACCACACACAAAGTCCTTCAGGTTTGGAAGTTTTTCTGCTGATTTGCAGCTTCTGAAGAAACGAAGATCAACCAGACTTCTGATACTTAGAATAATAAAAGTGTGAGCGTCCCACCTGGCGCGGTCCCCAGAGCTGGTAAACCTATCAGATCATGTTTTATGCACCAAGCAGACATCTGCCTTCACCTGAAAACCACCTGTTTACCCTCCTAAAGAGACTCTGGCAGCTGATTCACTAACCTCACAGCCATGTGTTATGTTAGGATGATGAATGACAGAAAATGAAGTATTTAGTATTTAATTGATGGAGAAATGTCATTCACGTCTTTCATGACTGACGGGCTAACGGGTAGGCTGAGCCTCTGTCATAAAACTGCATCAGTCTCCAAAACTTCAGCGGTCGTGATGTTTCATGAATCAGTCATTTACAGCAAGTTCTGTGGTTATTTTTTGTAGATGTCGTTTATTAATGTATTCACATTAAATCAGCGTACAAAACTAAATGTCTAAAACCAAAATGAAAAGGGGACAGAAAGAAGAAAACGTTATATTTTTGATAAAAAAAAAAATCAATCAAAAGAGGTGTTTTGCTACAAACTGCATAGGGTGAGGTCATGTGACTATGTAAAGTCACGTGACTCCTCTCCATTCAGGTGAGTAAATGGAGGGTGATTTAAACATGGGCCTGGACGGTGGGTGGCGACCAAGTCCACCACCGCTCGCGTTAACCGCCGCTGTACGGGTAGATGTCAAACTGCTTGATAAATTGGAATATTTGAGGTCGTATCGTCCAGACCGACATTCAAATGTCATTTTTTGAACCTTTATGCATATTTATACAGGAATAGTAGGAAATTTCCTTCAGTCTTGATCCCTGGACGCACCAGAAAGGCCACATCTAGCTGCTGACGACATTTTCAGTGTGTGAATGACTGGATCACATTTGGGCTTTTCCAACAGCACTACTCGGCGTGACTCGGGTCGGTGTTTTTCCAACAGCACGCTTTGG